AATATCATAGAAGAGTGTAATTGTCTTTAGGACAGCTGTTTTTTTAGTTATGACATTTGTGTTTCTTTATGTAATTGTTGTATTGTATGTGTGTCTATAGTTTTGTTCAATGTTGTGTTAGTGTATGTTTAAATAAAAAAATAAGCTAAGGACAATGAACACAATTGCATTTTATCAATGGCAATTTGAATGCACTGAGATACCATGACGAGATCCTGAGGCCCATTGTCGGACCATTCATCCCCCGCCATCACCTCATGTTTCAGCATGATAATGCACGGTCCCATGTTGCAAGGATCTGTACACAATTCCTGGAAGCTGAAAATGTCCCAGTTCTTCCATCGCCTGCATACTCACCAGACATGTCAGCCATTGAGCCTGTTTGGGATGCTCTGGATCGACATGTATGACAGCGTGTTCCAGTTCCCGCCAATATCCAGCAACTTCGCACAGCCATTGAAGAGGAGTGGGAGAACATTCCACTGCATGAGGCAAACGGTGGTCACACCAAATACTGACAGGTTTTCTGATCCACGCCCATACAAAAAAATAAAAATAAGGGATCTGTTACCAACCGATGCATATCTCTATTCCCAGTAATGCGAAATCCATAAATGTGGCCTAAGGAATTTATTTCAATTGACTGATTTCCTTATATGAACTGTAACTCAGTAAAATCTTTGAAAAATGTTGCGTGTTGCGTTTATATTTTTGTTCAGTGTATATTGAGGGATACCTGGAGGTAGTCGGACCTCTTTGAAATGAAAATGGATGGCCTTCCCCCCGAGGAAAATATATTTTTACCTGGCCCTCCCTGAGCATATGAAATCCCTTTTTAGTAGGCTATCGTGATTTCTATCTAATCGATAACAAGATAGATTAATTATACATAAATATAATACGTTGGTGAGCATCCACACTAGAGGAAAATGCATCGTTCTACAGTAGCCTACACTGTCAATCAACTGATCAAAGCATCCTATTGCACGCTATATTCCTATTAATAAGGTGGTAACACAGACCAGTCAGTGCTTCAGGGTGTGTTCATTGTCATAGTGACAACTGCAAATAATACTTCAATGTAGCCTAATGAAAACAATTATATAGAAACTCATATATTTAAATTAAAAGTAGAAATTCAACAACAAACAGTTTAGCCTGCACATATTTTACATCATGTCATTGCTTGCCTTATTGCTCAAGTGGTTTGCAAGTGATTTGCATTTTTCAAATGGATGTCAATTCATTTGGATCTTCTTTTTCACTGTTCTTTTCTGTCTATCCTGTGTAACCATTTTAATACATCTGTGCAACAATGTTATCATCACTGGCCAGTGATTCACTCTCTCTCTGCAACTTTCCCTGACAGTTCATTTGGCCTAGGCCTATTTTACATTCAGCTATTAGCAAGAGCAAGCCTGCTTCTCTCCACGAAAAGCCAATTAGGCCTAGTATAAAAAATACATCTCCTATAGCTTTTGTAGCCTATAACTTTTGGGAATTCACAAGAAGAGGAATAGTGGAGAGGCTTACGTCCGTAGCCTAGGCCTATTGCGCACGGGAACAGCTGGAAGAGAGGTGTTAGAGTTGAATAGCCAAAGAAGCTAAATATTAGCTAGATATTAGAACACTCATTAGCTAAATATTAGGACTATAAATATTTACCTGTCAAAGTGCAAAAAAATAAAAGTTTACGGATTATGAAATGGCAGATCTGTGCGTTCCTCCAGGCTGCGCTCTGCAGTCCCCTGGCAGTCTGACACGCAAAGCTCCACTATTGATTAGGCCTACGTTTTTAGACAACATGATTCTACCTATAGCCTACAACACATCCACACGCTCTCTTTCTCTCCTTTAAAACTCACAGCCAGTTATTTCGGTGTCTGTACTTTACATTCAGCAAGCAAGCTCAAGCTGAATTCTCTCCTCGATAGGTTAGTTGTAGAAAATACAATGCTTGAAATGTGTAGCCTACAAGCTATTCTAGGCCTAGTCTTGCTTTACCTGGGACCCCAATAGCTAAAGAGGAATTATTAGGAAAAATAATGCAGTGAATAGCCTATAGGCCTACCCCAATGAATTTACATAGTGAAATATTTTTTACAAATGTGATTATGAAATTACAGGCAGCCTAGGATAAACATATCGCTAGAAAAAGCAGAACAACTCGTAGACATACAGACAGTCCAGCTATCCACATGGACTGTTGTCCTCCCCATTCGATAGCAGCAACCCTTACAACACCCGATTTAATCCATTAAAAATGTCCTGCATTGAGGAACCATTTCCTTTTGACAAAAAAATAGTGGACAGAGACTGCAAAGAAACCCTTAAATTATTGTGAATAACTTTTTTCCAAGCTGTGGTTCTTGCATAATTGTGCAATGCCACGTTTGTTGTTGTTTACTGGTGCTTTCACGACAACTGGGAACTCTGAAAAAAACAAGGTCAAATCATGATGTCAGTGATCGTCAGGTCGGAAAGTCGGAGCTCTAGAAAGTTGCCAGAGTTTCCGGCTTGGAATTCCAAGTTGTATGACTGTTCAAAACTATTTTTGCCAGTCGGTGCTCGTGTTCCCAGTTGTCTTGAACGCACTGAAGTCGGAAGTCTGCGAGTTCAGAGTTCCCAGTTGTTTTGAACGCAGCAATAAACCACAGATTTCTACCACTGTTCTTGTCACTCGCTAACTCCCTATGTCATCACTACAAGCGCTATTTGATTAGCTAGATACTCTACACGCCCATGTTCTGGATACACAAAGCACAAAGAGGGACTGATCAAACAGCCAATGGAAAGGTGAAAGCAAATGCCTATCCAGCAGGGCTCAGTGAGGACAAGGAGAGCAAGAGAGATGGTTAGTACACCAAAGTTACACAGTCAAATTCCAAAATGCTGACAAATACTAACATTTAATCGATTACAAATTACACGACCCTCCCCTGGACTAAATTTAAAAAATACTAAACCCTCCCCTTGACTGAAATTGAAAAAGTATGACCCTCCCCAATTCCCCTCTGGGTAACAACTATGTACATTTCGAACACTCCCCTTGCACTACCTAGCCTGCTTGCTAGCACCAACATGAGGGCAATATACTATTTTTAATAATTATGGAACGCAGACCATACATAGCAGTTTAAACCTGGGCCTGGTTTCCCGATAGCGATGGAAAGTCATAATTATGGCTAAACTCTACCTATTTCTACAATTTCTCTTCTTAAAATCTGATTTTAAACCTAACCGTAACCACACTGCTAACATTATGCCTAAACTTAAATTAAGACCAAAAAGCACATTTTTGTTTTCATTAATTTTTATGATATAGCCAATTTTGACTTTGTGGCTGTAACTGGTGACAACCAACTGACATCTTGCCCAGTGGGGGATAAACCATGTGATTCTATGTTTAGCAGAGATCTTCGGTGTATAAAGTGATACGGCAGGGCAAAAAAGCATCCAGCGACGCACTTAGCTGTTCTACGAGTGTTCTGATGCTGCATTCACATGCTACTAGAAAACTATGACATTTCCGACTTGCTGATTCGTTGAACGCGTATAACTACAACCAGTTAGCAAGTCGGAAATTTCAGAGTTTCCTAGTTCCGACTAGTACGTGAACGCGGCATGAGGCAAGCGTTATGCCCCGTTCACATTGTGACGTATTTGTTTACGCCGTACGTCATCCTCACGGAGTCTTGCCCAGCTACTGAACGGACAAGTAATAAAACAGACGTTTGTAACGCAAGATGGAGGAGAGCCTGTCTCTTGTCAGAGATACAATTTATTTTGGGAGATTGCAAAATATGACCTTTTCACTCTTTTTTTTTTTTCAGGTGATAATAAAACGTGTTGTTTAGTTACCCTTTCCTCAACTTGTTTCTCTAACTTTATTGCAAGTCAAGCTAGCTTGCGCTGCAGAGCAGCTATCTAGCTAAAAGCTAGGCTAGGTTGAATATACCTTTGTAGCTAGCGACCTCCACCTAACAATTATCATCAAAAACAAATATAATTACCATCACAATAAACTTAAACGGGAGGCAACAGTCATATAATATAATTGTCTTAACAGCCAATGTGAATTATTGAACATTACTATTAAAGTAGTACTAAATTATAGGAATGGGTAATTGTTTACAAGTTGCTAGCTATCCCATAAAGCCATCACCGAAAATTTTCATCAATGAGAAAATGTGCAGAATGTTGGCCTAGTTCCATCATCTTCCTCTACCCACGACTGGACTTCCTCTCACTACCATATTTGGTGGTGAGAAAACGTTCTAAATGGATGCTTCAGCTTTATAGCCCATGTGACATGACTGGTGTTATCCCTTCTGTCTGTGATGGCCCTCTCCAACCGGGAAAGCTGTAATTTAGGGCCCGATTCAGACTTCACCACTCTACTCAGAGTGCAAGGGAACCATACCTGCAAAGCCTGTTACGCACATGCATAAGGTAAATCTAAATACCAACTACGGAGACATGCTTAAGAAAGGCGTACATTTCCTAAATCTGAATCGGGCCCTAAATGACAGCTTTCCAGGTTGGAGAGGACCATCTTTCCTGGCCAAATCAATCCCTAAAACCCATCAAAAGCTGTCAAGCTGTCAGACAGGAGCACTTTCTCCCCAAGCCTAATTGATTGGTATAGCAACAAGATGCCTTATGAGGGGGGGACAATGGATTATTTGGCGCCACAACAGCTGATAAATCACACATCATTGAGAGAAGCAGCATCTTTTACGCATTTATTTATATGGTGCTGTGCATCAATGCAGGACCCGTCTGGAGCAGGAAATGAACTGAAACACTATGGAAGACTTGGAACGTTGCCAGTAAAGCTCCAGTCTTTCTATTTATGGATTGCATTTCAAGGAATGCCCTGAATTGACAAGAGTTTGAATGAAATTGGCCCCAACCATAATAAAATGGCCCCATTCATGACAGTAGACAAGAACAGTTTCTCAACTTCTTTACTTGAAATGTGAGTTTACACAGGGAAACTGAATGTCATTTAGGTGGATATAAAAAAAAAATCATTAAGAAAAACTAATCACACAAAATGGTGTGGCATGTCTTCGCAACAATAGCCCAAGCTTTCCACTAAATCCAAACCTTGACATACAGAGGCACCTCTCTCTTAAATAAATAGTTTCATTTAAAGAATGAGAGTAATTAGTTATATCAAGGGGCATATACTTTTTCCAAAATCAATTATAAATGTATTGTTGATACAATTACAAAATTAACAAAAGTATATTAGCCCAAACAAAATCAAGCAGAAATGCAAAGACAACTTATATTAGCAAACCATGACATTGGCACATAATGATAAATGAACAAATAAAAAGCACATTCAAAATAAAGTGAAACTTGAAATTAATAGGCACTAGTTCATTAATTTATGGCACACTAATACCATCCCTATGAATCTCGGCACTCCTCTTTGATTTATTTTAAAGCACAAGTGGCAATGGCCACTGACCTATTGAACTTTTCCATTATAATCTTATTTGTCAGGATCATTTATTCCCTGTCTTGACATAACATACACTGACAATATTGTTGCAGGTTTTAAATTAACTACATCAAGCCTTTGCTGCATGCTCGTATCTCATGGCTACAAGGGCTGGATTTTACATATGTTTTAGAGGGATTACATGTCTCTGACTATACTGTCTGGATGTTGCAACTGCATATTAATCTAATGGTGGAAAGCAGATGGAACTAACTAACCAAACCAGAAGTAGATCTGGATTGAGATTGTGACGACTGCGCAGCTCAACATGACTAGCCAGCCCTGGAACAGATGTGATAGTCGATACAGGTTAAACCATAGTTATGGTTAGGTCTGGGGTGGGGCTTTAGCCTGTTTCTACCAGTTACATGTGTGTTCTCAACATAAAAACATCAACACTCAAATGTCCTGTTATGAAACCATCTAAAAATACTTTGGAGAATTAGCTTTGCAGTAGAGGTTCAAAATAAAATAAACATTTTTTTTTTAATGATTCAAATCAATAGAAAACAAATACTGAATATGGATATTTGGAAAATGAACTCTTTAAATAATGATTTGAATAAATAATGTCACAAACCTTTCAATACATTCTAGTTGATTCACAAGAGGAAAAAACTATGATTTTTGACAACACTTCGTAAAACGTTCACAATTCTTTAACATTAAGGGAACATTTTACCTGCACAGCATCATCATAGAGATCTCTGACAAAGGCATCTGTTGAGAACAGACTGCAAAAAGAGAAATGTGTACAAACACTTCAACCTGAGGGAGGTGAAAAAATAGAGGGAGACGAGGGAAGGAGAGGAGAAGGAGAGAAGCATTGTGTGAAGATTTATTGACTGATTGCTGAACAGACACACTGAGGCAGATAAAAGTGCCCTCTGGTGGCGCCGGGATGCTGGAGCTTGGCTGGTTTCTTTGGCATTCTCTATAGGCTTCTGCCTGTCAGCCCTGCCTGGCCACTTCAGATCCTCTCCGCACAGACACACACCATGTTCAGATCATGTTCCTCATGATAGTAAGACGAATTTGACTTTGTGTCTTTTGATATAGTTTCTTCCTTGATTCATGGTAAAAGTAATCTTGGTTGATAAAGTGCCGCATTGTAATGTTTGTCTGCCTCTTTGTGCTGATCCCCCCTGCTGACCAGGCCAGCCTCAGTAGCAGCCCTCTCTCCAGTTCTCCCCTTCCCTTCCACCATTGTAGGTCCGAGGGGCAGGTAGAGACCTGAGGAAGAGAAGAGCCAGAGAAACAGATTAGTTCTGTGAGGCATTAGGCAAGACTAAAAAGGTCTGATACACCTGTAATCAACTGACATGACAACTAAACTTGCTTTGAAGCTGTGTGTAATGTGCGTACCTACCTGCGTACTGGCTGGGCCAGTTTGCTGCGAGGCACGGGGATGCTGCCTCCTCCTCCACCCCCTCCTGCACTGGGCCGGGGAAGGCCGCTGCGTGCTGGGCCCAGGGAGCGTGTGGGGGTAGAGGCTCCAGAGCCAGGGGTAGACGTGGCCTTCACAGGCTGCCTCAGGGCCAGGGGAGACGGAGTGGCCGGGGTTCGCAGCTTACTGGGAGAAGGGACTGGACGGGTAGAAGACGGGTCAGTACAGTACACTATATTATGAACAGATGGAATAGAGAATGACACTTCACTATACCCACAACAGAGATCTACATCATTCTCAGTGTTTCACCACAGCAATTAACAACAACAATGATCTGAGGCACATATGATACAAAAACAATATGTATGAGAAATAACATGTGTATAGACCATTATCTAATATGCATTCAGAAGAAGTCTTTAAATAAATGAATGCATATTAGATAATGGTCTATACACATGTTATTTCTCATACATATTGTTTTTGTATCATATGTGCCTCAGATCATTGTTGTTGTTAATTGCTCAGTGGTGAAACACTGAGAATGATGTAGATCTCTGTTGTGGGTATAGTGAAGTGTCATTCTCTATTCCATCTGTATAATGGAATTTTGCATGAAATCACAAGACGCATGAAACCAAGGAAACAATGAATGAATATAAGAGGCCTTGTATTAAGTCTTTACACAAACGACAAAGTCCCACTATAATAGTTCATGTGTAGGATGGATGAGGCACACATGCCCTCTAGTGATGGGGAGGGCACAGATAATGCCACAACATTAACACATCATGAAACCACAATCACAATATATAAAAGTTGGGAGCATGAGCAGTGAATACTCACTGAAATCACCTTCTTCTCCAAAGCAACAGGAAAGATGGACTAAACAAAGACAGGAGAGATTTGACTTCATTCAGAACAGCAGGAGAAAGTGCAATAGATGACATGGATGGAAAAAGAACTCTAGACTAAGAAGTCTTCTAGAGCCTATACGTTCCCATAACAGTAAATAGCATACTAACTAGCTACTAATACAAACCAATCCGCAACCATTACCAAGAAGAGGTCAGGAGTAGTGAGTGCAGTGTGGTCAACCACATCAGCAGTGCTATCAGAAACTGATATTAATCTGAAACAGCCTTGAGGTCTGTGAGCCCAAAGGCATTCCAGAACCACAGGGTTTCTCAGCAGGTTCTCCCCATCACCACTAGGGGAGATAAATGACTTCTCTGTTCCAGACAAAACCCAGCAGGTGCACCCAACAGGAACACCATGGAGACACTTCAACTTTCAGTTCCAGACTGCCAACCATCCCAGAAGATGCCTACCTTGACCATCCCAGAAAACCATTACTTGGCTTGTAAATCTGGAGACCAAATTTTCTGGCACTTTATAATTGGTGGAGTGCATGCAGGTACGTCACACAGGCAGGCACACAGCCAACCAGTCACAGTAAAACACAAAACGCTTTAGGTTTGGTAAAGAATGTGGTCATGTGTGTATGACTGAGGATGTGTGTGTATGTAGGGACCCTTAACTCGTAAGGTGGATGATCCCAGGCACCGGCAGGCTGTTACCTCGGAGGGAAGAAGGGCTTTGGAGGTGCTGTTTGGGTTTCGGGGACTGTAAGGATCGAGGGGGAATTCCTGTTTGGGAGGAGCGAGGGGGAGTCGAGTACCGAGAGTGGAGTGGAGTGGAGGAGTGCTGGGCTACTGGGAGAAATGGAGATGACAGTTGGGGAGAGACAGAGTCAGCCCTTACTCGGACCTGCTGTACTGTTACGGTTACTAGACCAGGGAGAGGAGATGATAGGGCTGAGCCAGGCAGCCGAAGGGGAAGGATGGGTGTGCCAGTGAGGCAGTTCAGCCACTGTAAAATCACTGAGTGTCATTCTCAGGCAAAGGTAAAAGAGCAGCCTGAAACACTAGGGGGTGCTGCAGTGCAGCCAGACATTCACAGTCCAGAGAAAGAAAGAGAGAGAGAGAGACTGCCAGGGGTAAAGTACTGCCAGAGTCAAGCTAGGCCAACACTAGGCCAAACCCCAGCCAGTGCCTTAGCAGAAAGAGAGGGTTGGGTGAAAGGCAGCACATGCTCTGCAGTCAGATAGAGAGAGGCAGGGATAGTGATGTCATACATGCTCTGCAGTCAGATAAAGAGAGGCAGGGATAGTGATGTCATAATGCACACCACAGCCAGAAGAAGCCCTGAGAAGTAAAGGAGACGACCCCTATTATCAGCCAGTGTCAAGAGCGAAACAATACAACAGTGATTATAGTACAGGATAGTACAGAACATATGTATATTGCACATACACACAACAACAAAAAAGTGTTCCTATTCAAGCTCATTCATGCCCGCTTCACTTATACACACTCGATTATCAGTGTATAAAGCTGTTTAACTAACAGATGAACTGATACAGATTACACGTTCTTTGATCAGCAGCCTTGTCTCCTTCAGGTGTCTGAGTGGGGATTAGTTGTATGGATTAAAACTAGTATCACTGATTCACTGTGGGTTTCTCTCTTATTCTAGGGTTATAGTAAACGGCCACTCTGTGATTAGACAGGGGTTTTAACTATGAGAATGTAGTGTTTTATTCAGTTCTCTCTGCATTCTCAATCCTCACAATAAACTACTTTTAAATCTGGATTCTAATTGATTTGGATAATAAGGAGAAGAGTGCACGGAAGGAGAAATGATTCAAATAGTGAAATAAATCAAACAGAATCCCAAACCATCAAAGCAATAGAGGTTTAATAAGGAGGAGCCTGAGATGGATGCATGGTATACCCACTACACTGACTAGCTAGAACATCACTAAACTAGAACATTACTCCTTTCAGAACATTACTGATGTTGAATATGTTTGAGAAACAAAAATGGTATTTGTCAATATACAAGAGAGAATAATCTGAAAATGACAGAGTGTCTCGGATTGCTATTACTGAGTGAACACGCGATATGATGAACATTGTGTAGTACTCACTGGCAGACTGACTGACTGCCTGGTGTCTGGGTGAGCCTCCGTTTGGCACTTGCAGGTTGGACTCAAAGCTCCTGCTGTTCTTGACGGGCTCTGGGCCCTGCTGGGCTATGTTGGAGCGGGTCAGGTTAGGAAGACTACGCCTCAGCTTCTCTACAAACACCACAACAAAGGAAAACAACTGAAAACAGGACTGAACAACAACACAATGGCCCAGAATTACACATGACCTTTGACCAGCAGTGGTCCTAATTTGAATCAGAATAAATCATTTAATCATACAATTCGTCCTTCAGATAACTATGAACTAACCCCAACACAAAACCATTTCCCCTCTAGTCTCTCAATCGTCAGGAGGTAGTCCTGAGGTGTAGTGAGCCAGTATATCTGCTTACCTTCGTTCTTCACCACGTTGGTCTGCAGGTCTTGGGGGGCGTGGTTTTGCAGGGAGTGACGTGGTGCCTGCAGCCGGCTGATGATTGGCTGCGGGGAGCCTCGGCTGTACTCCAGGGAGCGTGCGGGGGATCGGGAGCGGGGAGAGTTTCTGGGGGAGGCGTGAGGGGAGTGTCTGGGGGAGGGGGAGAAGCGGTTTGAGGGGAGGTGAAAGGCGGGGTGTACAGCCTCTTCATCGTCCTCTAGACTGTGGGCGTCCAGCTCCTGGTCACTGAAGGTGCTGCGTCTCAGAGAGTGGCAGGACGAACCAGAGCTACGTCTGGACGCTGTGGCTGCATAGTCCTGTCGAAGACCTGGAAACAAACACACAGACGGTCAGAACATACACCGCTTGTACAGTATAAACACTCAGCATCTCTGACAGGTGGGTAAATGGTTTCTGTGGACAAACAGACAACGAGTTAGAAGATGGTACGTACTCTCCTCCTGCATGCGAGCCAGGATTTGTACATCAGTGACATCGTTGAGTTTGTATGTGGTGGAGGATCCTACAGAGTCCTCGTCCATCTCTGAGGTGCTCAGCTCACTGTCTATTGAAGACTGAGGGCTGACCGCCGGCGGGTTCCTTTCTCTCTCTACTGAGCCACCACGCTGCTGCGGGTGAGCTGCTGGGACACACACATAGTCTTCATACTGGTCCAACACACACACACACACACATATATAGAAAACAAACAAGCACAACCCTGTATATCTAAACCAAATTGAAGTTTATGTTTTAACATAAAGAGAAAGAGAGAGGGCCACGGAAGGAGAGTTAAAGACAGGCTTTATATGCCAGTGTACAGTACCTTGGTTGACGGGGGGCATCAGCTGCTGTCTGACGAGGGGAACCCTGCTGGGGGTGGAGGAGGGGGAGTTGAAGCCACTACTGTAGGGGCTGTTAGCTGTGTTTGTGCAGTATGGGCTTCCGTAGTTCACCTGGGGACTGTAGGGACTTCCATACAGGCTCCTACGCTTGTTTGCTGTGGAGAGAAGAGAATTCAAATCAAAGTTTATTGGTCGCGTACACAGATTTGCAGGTGTTATGGCTGGTGCAGCAAAATGCTTATGTTACTAGCTCCAACAGTGCAGTAGAATGTCTCGCAAATACAATACAAATAATACATAAATAAGAATAGCCATAAACATACTGTGATAAAGCCTATATCTACATCACTTAAGGGATTGTTGTACAGCCAGCAAGCTACATCGTAATAACCAATCATTCACTGAGATAATGTCTTACATGGGAAGTCATTGCAGGCATTACCGGTTGCCCCCTCACAAGCTGCATTATACCAACCACTGACACAAACACTAATGTGCACAGTACACAGTCACACACATGTTCTCTCTGAGTCCTCTTCTCTGTAGTGTGTTGGCAGTGGTCCACATTCTAGAGTCACTTAAAGCATATGGCAGGCGTGGGTGTCTTTATCATGGACTGGAGAAAGAGTTAACAATACGGCCTATTCACTCACTAGTACACAGTGAGAGCAGCACAATGCAGCACTGTGATATCCATCCAGCTCTCCACAGAGACTCAGTCAGCCAGCCAGCCAGTCAGTCCCAGGGAGGCAGACTCACCATGGACCCTCCCTTAGCTGAGTCATTAGACCAGGCCTGGCTGGCTGCTCTGACAGGTATATAACGCATTAGCCAGTAGCCATTACTGTTGAACTGCAGCCCCGTTCGGCTCAGCTCAGCCTGCAGTGCTGCATACACTCCGATCTCCAGGGCCACTCGTTTGCTCATCCCTCTCTCCCTGTCTAGATGTGTTTACACAGCTGGGTGGTGACTGGAAAGTAGCCTTTTTATGATCAACTCGCTCTCCTTTCCGCCTCCCTTTCTGAGTTTATTTTTATTTTTACAGGGACAGTGCACATTAATCAACGTTTCAGTAAAAGTGCCGGTTTTAGCCAGCCGGCTAATTTTCAACCACAGTCCCTGGGCAGGTTATTAAAAACTATTCCAATAACAATAGAGACAAACAATGAGCAGTGAACACATGCAGAGCAACATAGAACAAGCAACACGTAGCACGCAGACAGAGCAATGGCACAAAAAGCAACAAATCCCCTCCTTTCCTCTCACTCTCTCCCTTCCTCCCTCCATCTCCTCCGCTTCTCATGCTCTGCACTGTCCTACTGCATTATTTAGGAAATAACATGTCCACTCAACTCACTTCCTTAGAGATCAGCCACTGTCATCTGTAGATTCCCAGATAAGCTCATGATAAATGTCTAACCTATCTAAAACAGTGACCTAACCAGAGACAAAGGTGTCTGTAGTCCAGATTATGTCCAAACTCCTAGTGCTGGTAGAGAAATGTATAGCTCAGATATGTCCAACAGTTGCGTTGTGTTATGGAATGATCAACAGTATACGTATAGTCCTACAGGATATAGGTCCTCAGAGACAGAGACAGCTGATAGGGATCTAACACAGTGAGCTACTAGCCTCTGAGTTGCACCTCCATGGGTCTGTGTCAGCTCTGACCCAGAACATAACCCCTAGCAACGCATTGTTGGGGTCAACCTCTGGAGACAGACATACCTGAGTGGTCCCAATAGGGAGATTACTGCAGTTACAAACCACAAGGAAAGGACAGAGTTTCAGAGGGTGCATTCAGAGATGTTCCCCCATGTATCCAATGGTGCCAGGCTAACCAGGGGTGAATGATTTAAGGGCTAGGAGGTGATTAGATGGAACAGTAAATCAGTAGGAGTAACAGACAGCCTACAGTCAGACTGCTGGGTCTCTCTCAGCAGGGATCTGCAGCACAGGGACCAATTCAAATAGTGTTGTCCTAAAATGCGGTGTAGTAAAACAAACCATACAACAACAAAAAACTCCCAGAAATCTGCATTAGGCCTAAATAATGGCGTACATTTATATTGCGTTCATTCGGAGGTGTTTACTCATATGGAGGTGCTTACTCAACATTTTACACTTGCTCCCTCCATGCTAAAACCCCTTAACATTACGAAGTTGAGGAAATCCAGGAAAGCTATTCAAGAGTATAACCACTAGTGATGGGGGGGGGGGGGGAAATCGATAGTTACAGATCGGGATATTATTTTGCGCTAGTTGGCTGTACTTGCACCAAAACTCCGTATTTTTCCTTCTTAGATTGTTCTTCATCTTTTTAAAATAGGGAGACAATTTTTTGTTTTCAGCACTTTTATTTCCCTGACTGATCAAAACTCGTTTTCTCATAGCTCTCTTCTTGTCCATCTGCAACAGACACATGGTGAGTAATATGTGTGGAACATCGAATAGCAATTGGTACCTAAGCATCGTGATAATATCGTATCGCGAGGTCCCTGGCAATTCCCAGCCCTAATAACCACTATTTCCATTCATTTTTAGCCAAGAGACTAGCGGTAATAAAAGCTCTTTCCCAGCTGATGGTTTGACTGCAGAACCTCCAGTTTCCACTGGAATTAGCTTAGACAGCATAAAGTCTGTGACCAACAGACAGACAAAAAGGAAAGGCAGACGCAAGGATTGTTTGGTCTAATTAAACAGCTAAGATGGACAAAGAAAATGTAAACAAGACTTGGCATTGAAGCCTCCTTAAAGTGAAAAAGAAAAAGGTTCTTGAGACAGACTGGAACAACTACACTACATGGCCAAAAGTAGGTGGACAAGCTCTGAGCATTTCACATGAGGAGCGGGCAACAGAATTGTGTGGTTTAGGGAGAGAAATAAATAAATCAGGGGAGGGATTAACAAGTGAAAGAACATGACCTAGAGAAGGCGGGAATATCCAATCCATTATATCTTAAGTACTGAAACAGTAGATACATGTTAGGGTTGAGCATGGTTGGATAGGCCAGCTATCAGCCTCGGGTTAGGGACTGACTTTCTGCTATAGAGAAGAACTGGATGGAATCTGTGGACAGTTGTCAAAGCACTGTTCAGAAGACTACATTCATAATCTAGCCCAGCATTACAGGTCTGGTACTGGCCGGAGAGTCCCTTCCTGGTCCATGCTTCATTTCCTGCTATGCTTTCAGTTGTATAATGTTATAACAATGACCAGAATGTAGTTTTGCTGAATTTCACTCACTAATGAAACTAGAGAGTGTCTAATACATTTATTTAAATCGACTATCCCGGAGAAGAAGAAAAAAGACTCTTCCTCCCTGCTTCCAGTTTGTTATATAACTGGGGCATGGCATTTTAGGGATCGCATTGTTTACATTTCACAGGGAGTCTAAAAACACAGGCTTGGTTACCATGGACAAACTAAAACAAAAACACATTCACATTTCAGAAAGCCAGCGATCGCCCTGGGCCTTCCAACCAACAGTTTGGTTGTTTCACAGGGACATTGAAGGCTCAAACCTTGGAAAGGATTTTCCATAAAGCATTTCAAAGCATTGAATATAATCTTATGATGTGGTCCAAATCTATGACCAAGCTGTGTTTTCCATTAGTCATGAGCCAGACGCGATGCCCTGCTCTGTGAAATTCCTTCACCAGAACAAACACAATCCTCACAGGACGCCATGGTAGAGAGAGAGGCGTGTGACAGAAAGGGTGTCACTGAGGAGCCCACATACAGTACAACCACACAAGAAGAATAGTACACGCCTAGGCCCGCTCTGCTTGTCATGTGGTTGACGTGCAGTCATGTCTGACAGCTGCCTACCTCTCCTCCCCTCAGGTATAGGCAGTTAGAAGCCAGTCACCAGGTGGGTCCTTGAACCCTTTGTTAAAGGTAGAAAATGATGTTGCCACGAGCAGCACTGCAGAGATTGAGATGAGCGAGGTGCAAAACTTCGCTCTCACACAGTATTTGCGCATGTGCACGGGTTTGCTTCACGCTGTTCAGTGTGGTAGCCAGGGCACCAAAACAGAGGAGAAGTTGAGCCTTGCGGCACATCATGTGTTCGCTAACAGATCATGTGACTTGTACCTGCTCTTTGATTGGACAATACAGACTGCAAGGCCCATGGTTAGTGTAGGTTTTGGTGCTCTTTGAAACAGAAACTGACGGTAAAAACACGATTTCTCAACACAGAGGTTGAAACATTCATAACTAATGGGCACTACATCAACATACAAATTGTTTTGCAATCTCGGTAGAAAATAGAGCGTCTACGTTGCACAGTAATTACGCTAATATTTGATATCACCACGAGTTACAAGGATTGAGAATCCACTTCCGGAACCCTTAGTTGCAGCCCTATAGCCTGCACTACTGTTTTCTGCTTGTTAACGCACACCTAAATAATATATCAACCAGTTGATCTGTAGAACTTCCCTTTGTCCTTAGAGTGAGGTAGAGATGGGGAGGCACAGTAGTGACTTGAAGCATTAGGTCATGTCCATATTTTATGGATGACATAATCCTCTCCTAACCTAGTACAATGATATCACCACCACCCATTCTCCCCCTCCCTCCATTGCTCCTGTGAATAGTAATACCCATTTAGTATGTTGTCACCCACCAGAGCCCAGTCTCTTCCAATATAGTCTGAATTTAACTTCAGTGTGTGATGCACATAAATCCACAGGAAGGGATGTGAGGAGAACACGTCAGGTGTTGACTCTGGATGACAGGACAGGTACCCCATGAGGGTGCAGTCTGTCTGTCTGTCCGCCCAGGGGTATGTGACTGGAGTGTTGCTAGGGCTGTAACGATTATGGAATTTTGGGTAATTATTAATTGTAATTTTTGTATAATATTTTTTTGAGCTTGTAATGCATTTTTGTAAATTAGCTACGACATAATGAATACAATACAGTTTTGGTGAACCCTGTGACCCCCCTGTGACCGCTGACAACCTTTGGAAATGAAGCTTCTCCTCCCGACCGTGCCGTTCTGCTCGTACCATGATTACCAACTTTACCCACATCATGTAAAAATGAAAAACTGCTATTGAAGTTGAATACGATAATTGTGCCAGCCTTATGTGTTGCGTAACTTCTAGTGCCACGTGATCAGTGACCGTTACTGAGAACACACCGGTTTAGGGATAGCGACCTTCAGCAAAATGTTGCTCAATACGATATGGGCGTCACATGAGCATACCTCTTTAAAAATGGAACTGGACTATCTCACTTTAGCCGGGAAGATTTGGAGCCTTGGTGTCCTGATTGAGGGGATTGTCTGTTATTATCTGTCATAATACGCAGAGGGAAACAGATAGACACACACTCATACAGGCCATGATAATGCTGAAAATACTTTCATACAGCACATATGCCTACTACAAAACAAAAGCATATTTGTCCTAGATGTGTGTATGCTTGTGTAGAGAAAAGAGGAGACAGAGGGGAGAAGAGAGTAGAGAAGCGTGGTGACAGTACCTGACATGGTGACGTCCAGTCTGTGGATGAGGGAGCGCTTGGCTGACTCCATGTCAGGACTGGGATTGTCCAGGGCCTGGCGACACCACACAATGGGACTCAAGGCTTTCTGCAATGGGCTGTTGAGCTTCGCCTCATACAGCCTGAAGAAACACAACACATTCATTTAACACACACACACACACATCAATGGGCATGGCACAGGTGGAGAATCGCATCTCTGCATGTCTGGCAGACATATCAGTGTGGATGTCGGATCACCACCTCAAGCTGAACCTCGGCAAGACGGAGCTGCTCTTCCTCCCGGGGAAGGACTGCCCGCTCCATGATCTCACCATCACGGTTGACAACTCCATTGTGTCCTCCTCCCAGAGTGCAAAGAACCTTGGCATGACCCTGGACAACACCGTCGTTCTCCGCTAACATCAAAGCAGTGACCTGATCCTGCAGGTTCATGCTCTACAACATTCGCAGAGTACGACCCTACCTCACACAGAAAGCGGCACAGGTCCTAATCCAGGCACTTGTCATCTCCCGTCTGGATTACTGCAACTCGCTGTTGGCTGGGCTCCCTGCTTGTGCCATTAAACCCCTACAACTTATCCAGAACGCTGCAGCCCGTCTGGTGTTCAACCTTCCCAAGTTCTCTCATGTCACCCGCTCCTCCGCACACTCCACTGGCTTCCAGTTGAGGCTCGCATCTACTACAAGACCATGGTGCTTGCCTACGGAGCTGTGAGGGGAACAGCACCTCCTTACCTTCAGGCTCTGATCAGTCCCTACACCCAAACGAGAGCAATACGTTCATCCACCTCTGGCCTGCTAGCTCCCCTACCTCTACGGAAGCATAGTTTCCGCTCAGCCGAGTCAAAGCTATTCGCTGCTCTGGCACCCCAATGGTGGAACAAGCTCCCCCACGACACCAGGACAGCGGAGTCACTGACCACCTTCCAGAGACACTTGAAACCCTACCTCTTTAAGGAATACCTGGAATAGTATAAAAGTAATCCTTCTACCCCTCCCCCCAAAAAATTAAAGTGGTTGTCCCACTGGCTATCATAAGGTGAATACACCAATTTGTAAGTCGCTCTGGATAAGAGCGTCTGCTAAATGATGTAAATGTAAAAATACAACACATCCTCTTATCTTATCTGATGATACATGATGGTTGATGATACAGGTTTGGTGAGTGTTATAACCTGCTTAGGCCTATATCTCATCACAGCTGCTATGGCTGATACTTAGGCCTTATACTTTGAGAAAGTGCCTATAACAGGAAGAGGAATTTGAGTCAGCAACTGTCAGCTCTGTCTCAGCCACAGAGAACATCTCACATGAGAGCCCTCAGATATCCACTGGACACTAACACCAAGGCCTACTATTAGAAAGATGTAGGCCTAGTCTACATATTGTGTACATTCTTTAGGCAACTAAAAGTACGCCACAGAGGTTTTCACCATAACATTTCAAGAATCAAAGTTCAACCAGATTTGTAGGCCTATTGGGCCTACTCTAGACATTAGGCCTAAATAAGGCTGTGGATCCACATGGCTATGCTTTTACATAGAGCTTATAAGCCTAATTATCCTGTAAACATGCATGGATGGATCATCCTAACTGTATTTTAGAATCAAACCCTAAAAGCAGGATGGTGCTGTGCGGTCGTCAAACCGACCAGATGGCCCTGCAAAAGCAGTCTGATGCTAATTCAGGGATTATGGGAGTCAGTCTATGACCAGGACTGGCAAGCCCTCAGTTAGTAGTACTATGGGTAATCCTGTGTGTGTGTATATCACCAGCCAGAGAAACAGCCAGAGGAGAGGTGTGTGTGGGGATTGGGTTAGAGGGGCAATAGGGAACTGGTACAGAGAGGCCATAGTAAACTTCTCGGTCCTTCTTCCTCGGCTCTCTCATCCAAATATAGAAGAGTTTCTTGAACTGTAGTCAAAGACGTTTCTGTATCCAATGCATTCACATAGCAAACTCACACACTGAGCCAGGCTTGGGAAAGGCTCCTTTGCTCTGATCATGTGTTTAGGGGCTGCCAGGGCCCATTCACTATTACTATCCAGACCAGTGGTGGCTGCTGAGGGCTGGAATTAATGGCTCATAATAATGGCTGGAATGGAGTAAATGGAATGGTATCAAAAACATGGTTTTCATTTGTTTGATACAATTCCATTCCCTCCATTTCACCCCATTCCAGCCATTATTATGAGCCGTCCTCCTCTCAGCAGTCTCTACTGATCCAGACAGTCTGGCCATCATTAGTGATGTTCCTTTCTATAGCTGGCCTCCTCTGACCCTTGACCTAAAGCACAACCCATTACCATTACATTACCATCAAGAGGCCAATTATATGCCAATAAATAACATTCTTGTAACCGTACCATGGCAGACAAGGGCCTATCTCTCAGAGAATGAGAGGAGGAGAGAGCTGGGCACTGACTGTCCTCATTATAGGCTAAAGCTTACTACTGCTCTAATAACAAGACTACATCTCATTTATAAACAGGGCTTATTTCACATTAGCTCTACAGTGAGGTCTCATCTCCCTGTAACTCTCTAAAACCGTTTCAGGGATTTCCTCGAGTTGGGATTGTTGGGATCAGCAGTGAGATTTGTGCTGCCTCACAAATCCAATCAAACATCTCCAGTTTCAAGGATTAGGCTACACTTCTAAAAGTGAATCTGTGTAAGCATCCTTACCCTATAACCCACAAATGCACAGTGCACAACAAACAATACATGATCCTGAAATTCAGTGTGGCTGGGCCTGGCTGTCACAACAATTTGGATACTATAACATTGTCATAATCACATTGGGTCTAGTAGGCAATTACTTTCTCTCAACCTCTTTTCATACAATTGTGGCTGGTGTGTGTCAGTATTGGGAATCCTTCTAACAAAGAAGGTAACCATGGTTGTGGCTCTTGCACTGTCCCAATAGGCTTTAGCTGGGTAAACAACTTTCAATTTCACTGTGCACACTGCCCTCTTCCCACTACCATGACAGTTGTCTAACATATATTACCAAAATAGTGCAACTGGCCGCCACATGAACTGAACTTCCCTTACCCTGAAGACACACTATATACTGTATACTTATGTAGAGATAACGGATGACCACTAGTGTTTGTGGGTGATAATTTGACAGTAAACAAGACAGCTAAAATGCAAATGTTATGATTAAGGCCTAATAATAAAGGGATGTGATTAATTAAAGCACAGCAACAACAACCACAGTACAATGAATGCCAAGTTCCACTGATACAATATTGATGAGTATGTAATGTGCAGGGGGGCCAGTATGAAAAATGTATGCACTCACTAATTGTAAGTCGCTCTGGATAAGAGCGTCTGCTAAATGACTAAAATGTCAATTGGGTGGTTTGACAGTTCCCACACGTGATCCCCTTTCCATTTGGTTTCCATTCCATCCACCACCCCTCACCAATCAACAATGAACGACAGACAATCTGTCTGCGGTGTGTGTGATGACCTCAGTGTCTGTGGCCGGCTATTGTATTGAGAACATGACCGTGCGGTGCATTCCTATGCCGCAATTTCAGCGAGGATTATTTCCCTCCCCAAGCGATTGTCATCGTAGATAGCTAATGTCTGGAACAGCTGCGCTCGGCTGTTGAGGTGTAACATATATGGGCGCACAGGCACACTGGTTGACTGGTAGCCAAATGCATTAGGGCGTGTTGTTGTTATCTCACTGCTGTGCGAGACCCCTCAAGCTACTTGAATTACAGATGGTGTAATCGTGTTGTATCACTCACCAGCTGTCTTCATCTTCGTTAAGACAATCCATGTCTTCGAGATCGAGGATTTCTACTTCATCCAAGATAGAAGTTTCCCCTTCATCCATAAAACCCAGTGTTTCCCCTGCGTCTGTAAAATAGGAATTGGTGCCAGTGAAAGAGGTGGCAGCCGATGCCCCCTCGCCATCATATGCTCTCCTGAAACTGATGCCATCATATGACAGTCTGGGGCTCAAACAACGGGAGTTTTCCAAAAGCCCTCCATAGCCCGTTCTGCCGAACCCCACCCCAGAGAAGCCGGCCAGCCCCGCCGCTGAGGCGGCTGATAAGCGCGAGTCGTACCCTGCACTAAGGGGTCTATGGTTCCCTGATACTGCTCCAGCCGAAGACCGACTACGGAGCTGCTCGTTTTGTTGTTCGAGTTTCTTTACCAAGTCCTGCAGCTTCCGCACCTCCAAGTCCGCGTTGATGTTTGAGTTGATATCCTCCATAGCTAACGTTAGTTAGCGCCACCACCAGCCACACAAAATGAAAATGCCGATGCTGTGTGGTCTTTCGTTTCCTCTTTTTCGCTGGTAGTCACAATTTGTTAGTCACTCCAAACAATATTTACGTGTTTACTGAAGACACTTTGGTGTTCAAATAAGTTATAGGGCACATCGTCGTCATCTTCTCCAAATATTCATACACACCGGCAGGGTCGAGGCCATTTTCGCTGTTCCCGTCGCCAACTGTGAAAGACCAACAGGCAAGGCTAGACTACGTCATCACGTGAAACATCGGTAATGAGCACGTAACCAAGCCCGCGCTTACAGTATCGATAATGCCACACACTGTACTGCATGGAAATACAGTACTATGTGAGCTAAAATACAGTACAATGAAAGTATGGTGGTTTCAGCTAACTGCTACTAAGTTAAGGATCAGCTAACTTCTGCTAACACGTTGCTTATCAAGGATCTAGAATGTACTTTCAGGAGTTTTACTTTGCTCTCCAGAACCCAAGGCATTAACAAAGGCATTCAGCATTATCCCAAGGGTTCTCAGCTAGAAGCACCGCTAACTGGTGGGACCATGTGATCTCCAATCCCGACGCTCGTTTAGAAAAGTCAATAATCATTGCTTGCTATATGGTTTTCAAAAACATATGGTACTTATCTTTCATATCAGTGAGTATTCAAATAAAAAAAATACACTTACTGTATGTAGCAGGACCAACTACACTTCCGCTACATTAGTCCCCTCCTGTACTCCCTGTTCACCCACGACTGCGTGGCCAAGCACGACTCCAACACCATCATTAAGTTTGCTGATGATACAATGGTGGTAGGCCAGATCACCGACAACGATGAGACAGCCTATAGGGAGGAGGTCAGAGACCTGGCAGTGTGGTGCCAGGACAACAACCTCTCCCTCAACATGAGCAAGACAAAGGAGATGAGCATGGACTACAGGAAAAGGAGGGCCGAACACGCCCCCATTCACATCGACAGGGCTGTAGTGGAGCGGGTCGAGAGTTTCAATTTCCTTGCTGTCCACATCACCAACAAGTGTGTCCCCAGATCCTCAAAAAGTTATACAGCTGCACCATCAAGAGCATCCTGACCGGTTGCATCACCGCCTGGTATGGCAACTGCTCGGCATCCGACTGTAAGGTGCTACAGAGGGTAGTGCGTACAGCCCAATACATCACTGGGGCCAAACTTCCAGGACCTACAGTACCAGTCAAAAGTTTGGACACACCTACTCATTCAAGGGTTTTTCTTTATTTTTTACTATTTTCTACATTGTAGAATAATAGTGAAGACATCAAAACTATGAAATAACACATATGGAATAATGTAGTAACCAAAAAAGTGTTCAACAAATCAAAATATATTTATTTGAGATTCTTCAAAAGTAGCCACCATTTGCCTTGATGACAGCTTTGCACACCCTTGGCATTCTCTCAATCAGCTTCATGAGGAATGCTTTTCCAACAGTCTTGAAGGAGTTCCCACATATACTGAAAACTTGTTGGCTGCTTTTCCTTCACTCTGCGGTCCAACTCATCCCAAACCATCTCAATTGGGTTGAGGTCCGGTGATTGTGGAGGCCAGGTCATCTGATGCAGCACTCCATCACTCTCCTTCTTGGTCAAATAGCCCTTACACAGCCTGGAGGTGTGTTTTGGGTCATTGTCCTGTCCTGTTCTTGACATTTTCCGCATTGACTGACCTTCATTTCTTAAAGTAATGATGGACTGTCATTTCTCTTTGCTTATTTGAGCTGTTCTTGCCATAATATGGACTTGGTCTTTTACCAAATAGGGCTATCTTCTGTATACCACCCCTACCTTGTCACAACACAACTGATTGTCTCAAACGCATTAAGAAGGAAAGAAATTCCACAAATGTACTTTTAAGAAGTCACACCTGTTAATTGAAATGCATTCCAGGTGACTACCTCATGAAGCTGGTTGAGAGAATGCCAAGAGTGTGCAAAACTGTCAAAGGCAAAGGGTGGCTACTTTGAAGAATCTCAAATCTCAAATATATTTTGATTTGTTGAAATTCTTTTTGGTTACTACATGATTCCATATGTGTTATTTCATAGTTTTGATGTCTTCACTATTATTCTACAATGTAGAAAATGGTAAAAATAAAGAAAAACCATTGAATGAGTAGGTGTGTCCAAACTTTTGACTGGTACTCAGAGGAAGGCCCAAAATATTGTCAAAAACTCCAGTCACAGACTGCTCTCTCTGCTACAGCACAGCAAGCGGTACCAGAGCACCAAGTCTAGGTCCAAAAGGCTCCTTAACAGCTTCTACCCCCAAGCCATAAAGGGGGTGCTTACTACTAGCTGTTTATTATCTATGCATAGATCACTTTACCCCTACCTACATGTACAAATTACCTCGACTAACCTGTACCCCTGACTCGGTACCGGTACCCCCTGTATATAGCCTCATTATTGTTATTTTGTGTTACTTTTTAAAAATAATAACAATATTTTCTTAAAACTGAATTGTTGGTTAAGGGCTTGTAAGTAAGCATTTCACAGTAAGGGCTACACCTGTTGTATTCGGCGCATGTGACAAATAAAATCTGATTTGATTTCCTCCCAAGTTATGCATACACAGGTGTTCGAGCACGTTAGACAGCTAATTAGCACAAGTGGTCGCCTCTGTCTTCCGTAAACAACACCCTAACACGGAGAGATGGCTGTGTGGGAACATTAACCCTATAAAGATGGCTGGTAATTTAACCTTTTGTTTAAAAAAAAAAAAGTTTCCAAAACCGTACCGCAAGCGTTGCGTGTTAACGTACAGAACGAGGGTCGAGGCTCTTAACAAAACTCCCCCAGCCAGAAGATACCTTCATGAATAGACGCGTAAGGTAGTTCGCGTCTATGAATGGGCTAAATAAACGTATTGCAGATCATCTGGCTGTATAGACGGCAGAGCTGATGGCCATACTGTTGGCCTTGTAGTGGGTGGAGGAAGTCAAGCCAGACAGAGTGGTTATTTGCTCTAATTCAGGTGCAGTGTTGATGAGTCTCCAGTCCTTTAGCTCACGTAGCAGACAAGACCTGCTTTATGAGGTGCTACAAACCCATGGCAGGATTAGACAGATAAGATTTGCTTGGGCCCCAGCCCATGTGGAGGGGAACGAGGCAGTTGATGTACTGGCTAAACAAGCACTTAGTAGTGGGGATGTTGATGTTGTAGATTCAATGAGCAAGGCAGAGGCAAAAAGCCTGATATGGACAGTGATGGTGCAGAGATGGCAGGAGCAGTGGAATAGAGATACTAAGGGCAGGCATTTATTTCAAGTACAGAGGAAAGTTGGGGAGGGGAGGACGGCAGGAAGGGACAGAAGAGAGGAGGCAATTTTTACAAGATTAAGGGTGGGACACAGAAGGTTGAATGTGTGATTATTGCCGGGAAACAGAGACTGTGGAGCATGTATTGCTACAGTATGGGCAGTATCAGAGGGAAAGAGAGAGGCTGAGATCTAGTATGAGGGAGAAGGGGATACAGGAAATTAGTTTAAAGAGTATATTGAGTAGAACGTCATTAGATATAATCTCAAATATTTTATCTTTGTACTGTATTCTAGGAATTTGTGTTAAACTCTCATCTTAAAATACTACATTTATGACTGAAGCATTAGTTGATCAAAACAGAATTCTTGACTCTTATCTGTGAGGATCAGATCCATGTTACATTATCTATCTAGAGACCAATCTACACTTGCCTTACAGACATAGGGAACAACCACATCAAAACATAAACCAGAAGCCTGTTTTCTTATCAAAACATTTATTTCTTACTTTGTGAGAGATAAAAGTGCTGGGAGGGGGACGACGGCTTTGCAATGGTGGCATTGATTATGATTACTGCAAAAGTACAGGGTGGGGGGTTGTTGAGTTGTTATTCTAGCCTAGATAAGGTGCGCGTTCAGCAGGACGCAACGTTTTAGAACGTTCAGATAGAAATTGCCTATGTAGAAGAAACACGCCTCTGACATGTAGAATAAGGAATCACATCAGCTCTATTCATGGCATTTCTATCTGCAACGTTCGAGAACATTTGGCAACTGAACGTGGCCAAGGTTTTGCTATGAGAGCTCCAGTGCTTCCCCAGACTCCAGTTGCTCCTTAGCACTTTGTCCCCCTCCCTCGGTCTCTCCTCCCTCTGCCTCCCCCTGGATGGCTGGCATCTCCTCCAGGCCGTCCTGGTCAGAGCTGGCGTTCTGCGACTCAGGCCGCTCTTCATCCTCCTCATCTTCCACGTCCATCTCATACACACGGACGTGCCGCAGGTTGGAGCTCAGCTGAGAGAGGGAAAAGACAGAGGGACCTCAGACAGAGATTCTGAACCACTGTTAGGCCAAACTGTTTTGGTGTTCAATACATGGTCATTGAGGTGCATCGCTGCTTAGTGAAGCCAGATAAAACCTTAGTAAGGGAATACCCTTTCCATTGTCTTACCACACAGGCCACTTTCCGGATCCCATTCACAGCCACAAACTGGGCCTTCATGTTCTCCAAGTCTCGCCACTGGTTCTCTAGCACCAGCCCCTTGACAGGGATGGTGCCGCTCTGCTGGTCCAATCTGAGAATACAGATACCACAGGTGACCCATGGTGACTAGTACAGTGGAGATAACTAAAGTAGACACACAGCAAATACCTACAGTAAATCTCTAGTGTAGAACAGGTGAATTACAGGTTAGGGTTATAGTTGGTGTTTACGTGCAAGTCTTGAGTTTCAGCTTGTAATCAGGTAGATCATAATTGAGGGTTTGAGGTGAGTTGTAGGTTACAGTTACGAGTAGGTCACTACTTGGGTTTAGGAATATAGGACTAGGTTTGCATGTTAGGGAGACAGGTGTTTCAATCACACACACCTAAGACTGGGGTCCCAGTTGAACTCCTGCTCACAGCTGAGGGCAGAGCCAAGAGGGAGCTGGGCAAGGACACGCCCCCTGTTTTCCTCCTCTTCTGATGCTCGCAGCACCACTGTCAATGTCTCGTCATCATAGAAACGAGCATCCTGGCAACTGTACACACAGTCAGAACTGAAACACAGACAACGTGGTTCTATAACAATCATTAACACTAATAAAAACGCACAGGGAATCAATTGCAGATCATCATAAGAGCAAAGTAATATGCAATACATGAGCCCATAATTTGCCTGTATAGTAGAGGTTGCGGTAATTGAGTTTTAGGATTCTAGCAAAGAGAGGAAGACAAGAGAGGCACTCACCTGACTCCAGCAGCAGCATCATCATTACTGTGACAGAGAACTTTACTCAGATCTATCGCCATGAGACCATTGGGAACAGGCCTGTGACAACAGACATAAAAATATATAACAGTCAGACAAACAAAAAAAGCATAGACATTGAGCTATTTGGGGATCAACGACAAAGCAAATCTGGATTGAACCAGATTAAAATAGGGTGCAGTGTTGTATTGTACCTGCATGGGTCAGTACACTTCCGCAGTAGGTAAAGCTTGCAGGGTGAAATCTCTGGCATGCAGAACACTCCATAGTGCATATTGGTCTTCTTATCATTGTACCTGGACATCAATAAAAAATGTGCATCAATGTTAACATAATAATAACCTTGGTAATATACATTATCTTCATTACCATTATGAGGAGAGTGTTTTGGTGATATGAGAAAAATGACAATATGTTTTTTTGTTACTTACAATGATGGAAGTTCAAAAAGCCTTGGAGTGTTTTCTGAGCTGCAAAGACAGAAACAATAAAATGAAACAAATAAACATACCACAAATTAATAAACACAATTGATTAAATACAACTGTTATTGTGAAGAGAAGATAAATATGTCCTTACCTCTCTGGCACAGTGTAGAGAGGTAAACAAACAGCCTGTTTCACAGACCTTCCAATGACCTCCTACAAACAGAGAACAAATCAGTATCAACACAACTAGTGTCATGTCATGACTCAAATTCATATGACTTCTTTTGGATTTATGTAATCTCTCAACACTGCTATCTAGTCATGGAAAACTAATTGAATTAGAAAGATAACCGTTTCATGAACCTGTAACATGCTAACAGTGTTCCTTGGGTACAGTGGGGGGGAAAAAGTATTTAGTCAGCCACCAATTGGCCAAGTTCTCCCACTTAAAAAGATGAGAGAGGCCTGTAATTTTCATCATAGGTACACGTCAACTATGAAAAAAAATCCAGAAAATCACATTGTAGGATTTGTAATGAATTTATTTGCAAATTATGGTGGAAAATAAGTATTTGGTCACCTACAAACAAGCAAGATTTCTGGCTCTCACAGACCTGTAACTTCTTCTGTAAGAGGCTCCTCTGTCCTCCACTCGTTACCTGTATTAATGGCACCTGTTTGAACTTGTTATCATTATAAAAGACACCTGTCCACAACCTCAAACAGTCACACTCCAAACTCCACTATGGCCAAGACCAAAGAGCTGTCAAAGGACACCAGAAACAAAATTGTAGACCTGCACCAGGCTGGGAAGACTGAATCTGCAATAGGTAAGCAGCTTGGTTTGAAGAAATCAACTGTGGGAGCAATTATTAGGAAATGGAAGACATACAAGACCACTGATAATCTCCCTCGATCTGGGGCTCCACGCAAGATCTCACCCCGTGGGGTCAAAATGATCACATGAACGGTGAGCAAAAATCCCAGAACCACACGGGGGGACCTAGTGAATGACCTGCAGAGAGCTGGGACCAAAGTAACAAAGCCTACCATCAGTAACACACTACGCCGCCAGGGACTCAAATCCTGCAGTGTCAGACGTGTCCCCCTGCTTAAGCCAGTACATGTCCAGGCCCGTCTGAAGTTTGCTAGAGTGCATTTGGATGATCCAGAAGAGGATTGGGAGAATGTCATATGGTCAGATGAAACCGAAATAGAACTTTTTGGTAAAAACTCAACTCGTCGTGTTTGGAGGACAAAGAATGCTGAGTTGCATCCAAAGAACACCATACCTACTGTGAAGCATGGGGGTGGAAACATCATGCTTTGGGGCTGTTTTTCTGCAAAGGGACCAGGACGACTGATCCGTGTAAAGGAAAGAATGAATGGGGCCATGTATCGTGAGATTTTGAGTGAAAACCTCCTTCCATCAGCAAGGGCATTGAAGATGAAACGTGGCTGGGTCTTTCAGCATGACAATGATCCCAAACACACCGCCCAGGCAACGAAGGAGTGGCTTCGTAAGAAGCATTTCAAGGTCCTGGAGTGGCCTAGCCAGTCTCCAGATCTCAACCCCATAGAACATCTTTGGAGGGAGTTGAACGTCTGTGTTGCCCAGCGACAGCCCCAAAATATCACTGCTCTAGAGATCTGCATGGAGGAATGGGCCAAAATACCAGCAACAGTGTGTGAAAACCTTGTGAAGACTTACAGAAAACATTTGACCTGTGTCATTGCCAACAAAGGGTATATAACAAAGTATTGAGAAACCTTTGTTATTGACCAAATACTTATTTTCCATCATAATTTGCAAATAAATTCATAAAAAATCCTACTATGTGATTTTCTGGATTTTATTTTCTCATTTTGTCTGTCATAGTTGACGTGTACCTATGATGAAAATTACAGGCCTCTCATCTTTCTAAGTGGGAGAACTTGCACAATTGGTGGCTGACTAACTACTTTTTTTCCCCACTGTATGTGGCGATCACAGGAGGCTGCTGAAGGGAGAACGGCTCATAATAAACAGACGGAACGGAACAAATGGAATGGCATCAAACACCTGGAAACCATGGAAACCATGTGTTTGATACCATTCAACTAATTCTGCTTCAGTCATTACCACAAGCCCTTTCTCCCCAATTAAGGTCCCACCAACCTCCTGTGGTGGCGATGTGTGGCTTGTTACTGCAGTGAAATCCTATTACCACCGGAAAACAAAACAAAAGTTGAGAAGGAGGATAGAGAAGTGATGGACAAGGTAACTAAACTAGTGTGTGAGAAGGAGGAGGGAGAGAGGGATATACTGCAAGATGAAAACTCTGTTGTGGAGAGTTAGATTTATAGCTTCCTGGAACTTCTGGCAGTCTTATGAATGCATGACTCAGCAGATTCTGAGCCAAGTTTCACACAGCAGTGTGGGCCAAATTACTTTCTTATTTGTAAGAAAAACTTTGGCAAAGTGCTTCTTATGCCAGGGACCAAATTAAGTGGTCTACACTTCAGTTCTAAAGGCAAATGAATATGGGTTTCATTGTGTGTGTGTGTGTGTGTGTGTGTGTGTGTGTGTGTGTGTGTGTTTGTGTTTTAGACTTACAGCAGGTTTCTGTAGACACAACTCAATCACCCCCTCCATCATCCTCTTCACAAAGTGTAGGGACTTCTGAGGGTACGAAGGGAAGAGGAGCGGGCTCTCTGGATAAACCAATCAATTAGGTACAATGTCAGTTCAGTAAGGCGATCAGTCACAACAATAGAGAAAAACAATGCCAAACCAATCTTCCTCCATCTTCAACCAGGATCTCAGCGATCACTGCCTCATTGCCTGCGTCCGTAATGGGTCCGTGGTCAAACGACCACCCCTCATCACTGTCAAACATTCCCGAAAACACTTCAGCGAGCAGGCCTTTCTAATTGACCTGGCCCGGGTATCCTGGATGGATATTGACCTCATTCCGTCAGTAGAGGATACCTGGTTGTTCTTTAAAAGTGCTTTCCTCTCCATCTTAAATAAGCATGCCCCATTCAAAAAGAACAGATATAGCCCCTGGTTCACCCCAGACTTGATTGCCCTTGACCAGCACAAAAACATCCTGTGGCGTACTGCATTAGCATCGAACAGCGCCCGCGATATGCAACTTTTCAGGGAAGTCAGGAACCAATATCAGTTAGGAAAGCAAAGGCTAGCTTTTTCAAACAGAAATTTGCATCCTGTAGCACTAACTCCAAAAAGTTTTGGGACACTGTAAAGTCCATGGAGAATAAGAGCACCTCCTCCCAGCTGCCCACTGCACTGAGGCTAGGAAACACTATCACCACTGATAAATCTACGATAATCGAGAATTTTAACAAGCATTTTGCTACGGCTGGCCATGCTTTCCACCTGGCTACCCCTACCCTGGCCACCAGCTCTGCAACTTGCCCATGCCCCCCCCCCTTCTCCTTCACCCAAATTCAGATAGCTGATGTTCTCAAAGAGCTGCAAAATCTGGACCCCTACAAATCAGCTGGGCTAGACAATCTTTCTAAAATTAGCCGCCGAAATTGTCGCAACCCCTATTACTAGCCTGTTCAACCTCTCTTTCGTATCGTCTGAGATCCCCAGAGATTGGAAAGCTGCCGCGGTCATCCCCCTCTTCAAAGGGGGTGACACTCTAGATCCAAACTGTTACAGACCTATATCCATCCTGCCCTGCTTTTTGAAAGTATGTGAAAGCCAAGTTAACAAACAGATCACCGACCATTTCGAATCCCACCGTACCTTCTCCGCTATGCAATCTGGTTTCTGAGCTGGTCATGGGTGCACCTCAGCCACGCTCAAGGTCCTAAACGATATAGTAACAGTGATCGATAAAAGACAGTACTGTGCAGCCGTCTTCATCGACCTGGCCAAGGCTTTCGACTCTGTCAATCACCGCATTCTTATTGGCAGACTAAATAGCCTTCGTTTCTCAAATGACTGCCTCGCCTGGTTCACCAACTACTTCTCAGATAGAGTTCAATGTGTCAAATCGGAGGGCCTGTTGTCTGGACCTCTGGCAGTCTCTATGGGGGTGCCACAGGGTTCAATTCTCGGGCCGACTCTATTCTCTGTGTATATCAATGATGTCGCTCTTGCTGCTGGTGACTCTCAGATCCACCTCTACGCAGACGACACATCTGGCCCTTCATTGGACACTGTGTTAACAAACCTCGAAACGAGCTTCAATGCCATACAACACTCCTTCCGTAGCCTCCAATTGCTCTTAAATGCTAGTAAAACTAAATGCATGCTCTTCAATCGAACGTTGCTTGCACCCGCCCGCCCGACTAGAATCACTACTCTCGGCGGGTCTGACTTAGAATATGTGGACAACTACAAATACCTAGGTGTCTGGTTAGCCTCCAACACTCTACTCAGCAAATTGGATATAGTCTATCACAGTGCCATCCATTTTGTCACCAAAGCCCCATATACTACCCACCACTGTGACCTGTACGCTCTTGTTGGCTGGCCCTCACTACATATTCGTCGCCAAACCCACTGGCTCCAGGCCATCTATAAATCACTGCTAGGCAAATCCCTGCTTTATCTTAGCTCATTGGTCACCATAGCAACACCCACCCATAGTCTACGCTCCAGCAGGTATATCTCACTGGTCATCCCCAAAGCCAACACCTCCTTTGGCTGCCATTCCTTCCAGTTCTCTGCTGCCAATGACTGGAACGAACTGCAAAAATCTCTGAAGCTGGAGACTCTTATCTCCCTCACTAACTTTAAGTATCAGTTGTCAGAGCACCTTACCGATCACTGCACCTGTACACAGCCCATCTGAAATTAGCCCACCCAACTACCTCATCCCCATATTGTTATTTATTTTGCTCATTTTCACCCCCAGTATCTCTATTTGCACATCATATTTTGCACATCTCTCACTCCAGTGTTAATACTAAATTGTAATTATTTTGCACTATGGCCTATTTATTGCCTTACCTCCATAACTTACTACATTTGCACACACTGTATATAGATTTTCTATTGTGTTATTGACTGTACGATTTTGTTTATCCCATATGTAACTCTGTGTTGTTGTTGTTTTTAATCGCACTGCTTTGCTTTATCTTGGCCAGGTCGCAGTTGTAAATGAGAACTTGTTCTCAACTGGCCTACCTGGTTAAATAAAGGTGATTTTTTTAAATAAACAAATCTAATTAGAATGATAATAACCACACACGTCCTGCATAGTTGTCTCTTCTGAGATAAAGGTTATAGTTCACCTTTCAAGTGTGTGCTCTCCTGCAGAAACTTCAGCCATTGGTTCCCCTTGGTGTTGGGCGGAGACACTAGATCCTCATCCTCATCCTTCAGGTACTGCAAAGAAAGGACAAAAAGTGTGTCATTGTACACTGATCACACACACACTAAAATACACACAGTCAGACTACACTTGTCCCTCACCTGACCGACCCGCTCCACATTAAAGTACTTCCCTTTCCGGTCAAACAGCTCTTCGTTCTGTCAGAGCAGAGGAGAGGGCATGTAATTGGCTAGTTTGTGAAAAGCTGTGGAAATTAAGTGCTATTCTATTTATCCAATAAATCTTACCTCACTGAAGTGCTCAGACAGGAAGTCTGCCACAAAGGCAATGTCCTTCTGGGTCATCTGAGGTCAATGGGATAGATTGACATTATACCAACGGTTTACATATGGAACAGTTTATCACACTACTTTGATCAACTCTTCCTCTGTCTCACGTTCACAACCTGAATCTCACCTTATTGAGTTCTGGAGGGACGTGGTCCTCTGACATCCTTAGCATAGCTGCAGGAAAATGCATTAAAACACTTGCATTTAATAATCAATGATATTTTAAATATACCAAATGTTCCATCAGTCGCTAAAAGGTGCTATATCTCAAGCTCCCAAAAAAGGTGAGGTCTTACCTACATACAGCCACCGGAAAAAGGCTTTGAAGTTCTTCATGCTCTTGTCAATCACTCTGAGTAAGAGACAGACAGTGAGAAATGACATGAGGGGGAGAGGTTTAACAAACACCAGGGTTGAAAATGTGATATTAAAATAACAAAATACTAATCTAATAGCATATCAATAAGCATGCAAACTCACTGTAGAAGTTCGTTGGCTTTCAAAGTGAATGAACCCACAGCTGTAATGGCATCTATAACAAAACAGAAATATTCACATAACTTTAATTTGAGGTAAAATCCTGCGAGCAGCTTAGAACTAGTCTCCTGAGTCTCCTGAGTGGCGCAGTGGTCTAAGGCACTGCATCGCAGTGCTAACTGTGCCACTAGAGATCCTGGTTCGAATCCAGGCTCTGTCGCAGCCGGCCGCGACCGGGAGACTCATGGGCGGCGCACAATTGGCCCTGTGCCGTCCAGGGTAGGGGAGGGAATGGCCGGCAGGGATGTAGCTCAGTTGATAGAGCACGGCGTTTGCAACGCCAGGGTTGTGGGTTCGATTCCCACGGGGGGCCAGTATAAAAAAATATATATATATATATGTATTCACAAACTGTAAGTCGCTCTGGATAAGAGCGTCTGCTAAATGACGTAAATGTAAAATGTAATAAAATGTAACTAATGTTCCAGTCAAGCCCTGATCTCATCACAGACTAATTAATTAATTGCATGATCTAAGCACTATACCTTCTATAGCTGCTGAGTCCAGGCCTAGAGGCTGGAACTTCTGTTTCCATAGAGACATCCCCTTCACCTCACTGAGGTGGTACAACAGAGCCTCTGAACCACTGGAGAGAGGAGAGGAAAAGAGGGGATTGGTATCACAATCAATTTCTTGACATTTGCATTGTATGGTCCCGAAAAAGGGCATTATGGGTCACGATAAGAGAAGAGATAATTATTCATGGCAGTTGAGTTGCTACCTCTGCAGGTGGCTGATCACCAGCTTCTGAATGCTGGAGTAAGAGGTTTCTATAGACTGGCCCAGCTTCTTCAGCCCCTATGAAACACAAAAAAATCACATCAGTCTTACAAAGCTACAAAATGACCACCCACAATCATACTCAATCTTTTAACAACTTTATTATTCAGCTCACCTTGACGGTCAGCTGATTCATGAGGAGAGCCTGTAGTTCAGGGCTGGTTAAAAATAGAGAATTCGGTTAAAGTCTGCACATAAAAAAACTTTTGACATCTCAAAATCAGTTTTTTCCATGTCAGATTAGGTTTATGTCCTGTAGTGCCACCTACAGGACCCTTTGAAGCACTACATCACAAATGAAAGGCCTGTTGAACATCTTTTTGCATTAGTGCTCACAACTACATACTATATTACTTATTAGAAAGCATGTTCTGTGGAGGACAGTGTCATTGGATCACAGTAACACTTTTCTCACCTCGACTGTCCCCATAGTAGAAGCTCCAGAAACTCATCCTGGACTTGTGTGCTGGTGTTCTTCTCCTAAAAACAGGAATTGGTTCAGATCAAGTCTTTTAGGTGTGCTGTCATTATTGGAAAATGGGCTGGAGGCAGACTGAACGGGGCCCGGTTTCCTGATAGAACTTAGGCTTACGAGTGTTTTAATGATGCATCTTTCCTATAACGGCCGAAGATGTAATGCGTTTCCAAAAAGACCACGCAGAGAGAACCTTCGCTAAGTGCGTCGTTGAGGCATGTGTCGATACTGATAGGATCGAAAGAAAGGCTGCGCTGCTCTGGGATCAGCGTTCAGCGCTCCCTTTCAAATATTACCTTAACATTAGAATGATTCCACAATACTGACGACGGATCAGCTCCTATGAGAGATTAACACCTATGGCTACAAATATTGAGGAGGCTTATTCTAATGTTTACCCTATAATAATGCACTAAATCTTTGGCACATCAGTGCGCACGTTACACATCATGAAATATATTGAGGCAAAAATTACAGACAGTAGCCTACAATTAGCAAAATAGAACTCAATTGAATGAACATGAAATGTATTTCTATATCATTGACATACAGTGGGGAGAACAAGTATTTGATACACTGCCGATTTTGCAGGTTTTCCTACTTACAAAGCATGTAGAGGTCTGTAATTTTTATCATAGGTACATTTAAACTTTGAGAGACGGAATCTAAAACAAAAATGGAAGAAGTTCAAGATGACGGTCAATCACCCTCGGTCTGGGGCTCCATGCAAGATCTCACCTCGTGGGGCATCAATGATCATGAGGAAGGTGAGGGATCAGCCCAGAACTACACGGCAGGACCTGGTCAATGACCTGAAGAGAGCTGGGACTACAGTCTCAAAGAAAACCATTAGTAACACACTACGCCGTCATGGATTAAAATCCTGCAGCGCACGCAAGGTCCCCCTGCTCAAGCCAGCGCATGTCCAGGCCCTTCTGAAGTTTGCCAATGACCATCTGGATGATCCAGAGGAGGAATGGGAGAAGGTCATGTGGTCTGATGAGACAAAAATAGAGCTTTTTGGTCTAAACTCCACTCGCCGTGTTTGGAGGAAGAAGAAGGATGAGTACAACCCCAAGAACACCATCCCAACCGTGAAGCATGGAGGTGGAAACATCATTATTTTGGGATGCTTTTCTGCAAAGGGGACAGGACGACTGCACCGTATTGAGGGGAGGATGGATGGGGCCATGTATCGCGAGATCTTGGCCAACAACCTCCTTCCCTCAGTAAGAGCATTGAAGATGGGTCGTGGCTGGGTCTTCCAGCATGACAACGACCCGAAACACACAGCCAGGGCAACTAAGGAGTGGCTCCGTAAGAAGCATCTCAAGGTCCTGGAGTGGCCTAGCCAGTCTCCAGACCTGAACCCAATATAAACTCTTTGGAGGGAGCTGAAAGCCCGTATTGCCCAGCGACAGCCCCGAAACCTGAAGGATCTGGAGAAGGTCTGTATGGAGGAGTGGGCCAAAATCCCTGCTGCAGTGTGTGCAAACCTGGTCAAGACCTACAGGAAACGTATGATCTCTGTAATTGCAAACAAAGGTTTCTGTACCAAATATTAAGTTCTGCTTTTCTGATGTATCAAATACTTATGTCATGCAATAAAATGCAAATCAATTACTTAAAAATCATACAATGTGATTTTCCGTCTCTCACAGTTGAAGTGTACCTATGATAAAAATTACAGACCTCTACATGCTTTGTAAGTAGGAAAACCTGCAAAATCGGCAGTGTATCAAATACTTGTTCTCTATAGCCTATACTGTATGTATCTTTTAATTCAGTCATCTCGGTTTTCATTTGAAACATCTTTATATGCTTCGCTTGTTTGTAACAATTGCAAAAACATTGGCACCTTTGTATTTGTGTTCACATTCATTCTGAAGTTATTGGCGATAAACATCTTGATTTTGTATTTAGAGGAGATCTCGTCTGTATAAAGTGACGCGGAAGCGCCAAAAAATATCTAACAACGCATTTATCTATTCTACGAGTGGTCTGAGGTAGCCGTTCATTTACATGCGCAACTTTAATATCGATGGTTTTGGGAAACAGCTCGGATATTTATCGATGCTCCTACGAAGGTTCTAACGATGAACTTAGCCTTAAGATGCTTTTGGGAAACCGGGCCCTAAACAGTGACCACTGACCTGAACGAACTTAGTGAGCCGAAGGTCCATCTGCATGAGGATATCCTCCCAAGCCTCACACATACAGGTGAGAGAGAGACGCAGGTACTGAAGGAAAGATACAGAGAGAGACAGAATAAGTTGGAGAGAGAGAAAGAAAGACCAATAGCCAGACTAGTCTGATGAATGCCCTCAAATACCTCCATGGAAATATGAACTATGAGGAGACTTCTAGTCATATTAGTTACATAAGGAGGGCACTGACCTGCAGCAGAGTGGAGATGTGGGTGAACTTGCGTGCCATCCTGGTGACCTCAGGGAGACATTCGGACAGCAGCCCTGTGTCGAGCTGGAGGAGACAAAAAACATACACAGAGAAAGACCTCAAATAAGTGAAGAACATAGAAGATGACATGATGGGTCAGAAACATGCTTCATTTCACTTAAATGTGGGCATAACTGATTACCTGGATGTAGCAGATCTCTGGGTCGTTGTCAGCTGACCTGATCTCTGTGATGATAGACAAGGACTTCAGGTCACTGGACAGACACAGGCTGCGACATGTCCCAGGAACCTGACGAAGATAATCTGTTGGTTACATCATAGTCACTGCAGAGAGTGGGTGAGTGAACCAGTGCATAAGTGTGTGAGTGCAATCTTACCCCTGGTAAAGTGGCGATCTTATACATCCCATAGGCATACAGCTCCACAAAGCCGGAACCTCCACCAAGAACCAGGATGTTTAGTCTGCAGACAATTGACGGATGTGTAAGTATTTGTATGTGTAAATGAGATTGTGCTTTAACAAAATGTTCAATAATAAAGCATGTGAAACTTTCAGCACACACCTCACTTCTCCTAACAGGTTCAGGATCTCGTCTGACTTCTCCTCACTACGAGACAGTGAGTTGGTTATGAAAACACATGTTTTCTAATGCAGACAGATTGTCTGAAATATCATTTAAATGAATCACTGTCGCTGAAGATATATAAACATACCTGAATATCTTTGATGTAGTACTGTAGCTGAGAAGAAACAAAACATTCCTTTAGTAGGGGGCAGATGGCACAAAACAAGAAAAATGCTCTACTGTTTGTGTCAACACAAGAACCAAGAACCAAGTTTTCCTAAATGTATTTTACTTGAATAAATGTCAAATGATTGATGTGTTGTCAGTGACATTATACAGACATGTTTACCTCTTGGGAAGAGTTGGCAACTTGGGAAGAAAAAGGTTGGACTCGTCTTCAGAGGTGTAGAATGAGTTGAGGACGCTAAAAGACAGGAGGTTAATATTTGAGTACACCGTTCACACACACTTAAATAGAAGTCTAGTGTAACCACTCCTCCCCCCTGCAGACCTGCTCTCCTCCAGCACCTCCATCCAGTGCATGCAGGACACAGGGTTCTCCACTGAAAACAGGTGAAGGATCTCTGCCTTCTCTGCATCACATAGCACCACCAGCTTAGTGTCCCCAAGGCTAAAGGCCAGGACTGAACACAGCACAGAGGACACACATTAGATAGGCAGTGAAACAAATGCAGAGGCTGACACACTGTAGTTCCCACGGGGGGCCAGTATGAAAAATAAATAATGTATGCACGCACTAACTGTAAGTCGCTCTGGATAAGAGCGTCTGCTAAAAATGGAAATGTAAATGTAGTAAATAATGTTGTGTTGAGTGTATGGTTTATTGTTGCAACAGTGGTAAAGTAACGTAACTATGCAATGCTTCCAATGTGATTAGTAATTTAAGATAATCAGGTCCATCTCTTGCCATCTCTTACTTTTGCCATCAGGTCTCCAAGCAAGCGCAGTGATCTCCTTTCCCGTATTCTCATTGGGTGGCAAGCTCCAAACACGCTGGAAATTGGCAAGGCGATGCAGTAGCAGCTACAACACAAACATCGATTGACAGACAGATTAATGAAATTACTCCCAATATAAGCAAATGTGATCTGGCATTAATCTGGGTATGAAACATACAGTGGGGAGAACAAGTATTTGATACACTGCCGATTTTGCAGGTTTTCCTACTTACAAAGCATGTAGAGGTCTGTAATTTTTATCATAGGTACACTTCAACTTTGAGAGACGGAATCTAAAACAAAAATCCAGAAAATCACATTGTATGATTTTTAAGTAATTAATTTGCATTTTATTGCATGACATAAGTATTTGATCACCTACCAACCAGTAAGAATTCCGGCTCTCACAGACCTGTTAGTTTTTCTTTAAGAAGCCCTCCTGTTCTCCACTCATTACCTGTATTAACTGCACCTGTTTGAACTCGTTACCTGTATAAAAGACACCTGTCCACACACTCAATCAAACAGACTCCAACCTCTCCACAATGGCCAAGACCAGAGAGCTGTGTAAGGACATCAGGGATACAATTGTAGACCTGCACAAGGCTGGGATGGGCTACAGGACAATAGGCAAGCAGCTTGGTGAGAAGGCAACAACTGTTGGCGCAATTATTAGAAAATGGAAGAAGTTCAAGATGACAGTCAATCACCCTCGGTCTGGGGCTCCATGCAAGATCTCACCTCGTGGGGCATCAATGATCATGAGGAAGGTGAGGGATCAGCCCAGAACTACACGGCAGGACCTGGTCAATGACCTGAAGAAAGCTGGGACCACAGTCTCAAAGAAAACCATTAGTAACACACTACGCCGTCATGGATTAAAATCCTGCAGCGCACGCAAGGTCCCCCTGCTCAAGCCAGTGCATGTCCAGGCCCATCTGAAGTTTGCCAATGACCATCTGGATGATCCAGAGGAGGAATGGGAGAAGGTCATGTGGTCTGATGAGACAAAAATAGAGCTTTTTGGTCTAAACTCCACTCGCCGTGTTTGGAGGAAGAAGAAGGATGAGTACAACCCCAAGAACACCATCCCAACCGTGAAGCATGGAGGTGGAAACATCATTCTTTGGGGATGCTTTTCTGCAAAGGGGACAGGACGACTGCACCTTATTGAGGGGAGGATGGATGGGGCCATGTATCGCGAGATCTTGGCCAACAACCTCCTTCCCTCAGTAAGAGCATTGAAGATGGGTCGTGGCTGGGTCTTCCAGCATGACAACGACCCGAAACACACAGCCAGGGCAACTAAGGAGTGGCTCCGTAAGAAGCATCTCAAGGTCCTGGAGTGGCCTAGCCAGTCTCCAGACCTGAACCCAATAGAAAATCTTTGGAGGGAGCTGAAAGTCCGTATTGCCCAGCGACAGCCACGAAACCTGAAGGATCTGGAGAAGGTCTGTATGGAGGAGTGGGCCAAAATCCCTGCTGCAGTGTGTGCAAACCTGGTCAAGACCTACAGGAAACGTATGATCTCTGTAACTGCAAACAAAGGTTTCTGTACCAAATATTAAGTTCTGCTTTTCTGATGTATCAAATACTTATGTCATGCAATAAAATGCTAATTAATTACTTAAAAATCATACAATGTGATTTTCTGGATTTTTGTTTTAGATTCCGTCTCTCACAGTTGAAGTGTACCTATGATAAAAATTACAGACCTCTACATGCTTTGTAAGTAGGGAAACCTGCAAAATCGGCAGTGTATCAAATACTTGTTCTCCCCACTGTATGTGGGTGTGTTTCTTTCCCTACCTCGCCAGCAGTGTTCGCGAGGGCAATGAGATCCCTCTTTGGAGACCATGCCATACACAGAACAGGGTTGGGGAGCTGCTTCTCCCCCACTTGACGGAAGGCAGGCATTTCTGTGGGCTGAAAATAGAACACAGAAGTATTAACAAGGGAATAAGGGGCAGTCAGTTTTGCTGCACTTGTCAGTGAAGAAAAAGCTAAATTTGTCAATGACAGTGCCTGAGTGAGCTTGGGAATAATCTATAATAGACAAGACCAGGCCGGCAGTATCCAAAATGTTTTACAACAGACGAAACGTTTTGCAGCGGAATTCGACTAATGAATACACCCCAGGTAAACTCGTTCACCATACACTTCCGCATATACGCAGATGAAATGGGTTAGTTATCATAATATTAACGAATACACCCCTTTCCTATACAATGCAGAATAAAAATACAAGACACCTTTATCAGTTAGTTAGCTAGCTTGCTAACGTTTGCAATGCTATACTATCTAGTGCCAAAGGCAACATTGTAATAATTATTAAAATGTTAGCTAGTTAGTTGAAGCTAGATTTATCAACAATTAAAAAATGGGTTGTAAAGTTTACTTGTCAATAGGTAACTAGCTAGTCAACTTGCTAACAACAACTGCGAGGTAAAAAGAAATAGCCAGTTATGGTATCTTACTGTACTGGGATGTCTGAGGACCAACTTTGTTACTGTTACTTTGAAACTAGCAATAAACAATAAGCTAATATTTACTTCTTTGCAGGATACTGTTAGTGTGATCTAGCTAACTAGCTCCATATTCGCCACGGCCAGCGCCATTGAATAAAGTCTTACCCAATCATGTTCAAGTCTGAATAGCCAATGAAATGGACGCAACGGGGAACCTGAAAGGACAAACTGAACTACTGTGCTGCTGCAGTGCAAAGATTGCCTCTTCCTATCTGGCTCACTGATCTTGCTGCTACATAGAGATAGATAGAGGACTATCTCTAAACGGTTCACCTGATATAGATTAAAATACCCTCAAATTAAAGCTGACAGTCTGCACTTTAACCTCATAGTCATCGTATAATTTCAAATCCAAAGTGCTGGAGTACAGAGCCAAAACAAAAAAAACAATGTCACTGTCCCAATACTTTTGGAGCTCACTGTATCTCATAAATGGCTGGCCATTTTGTGGATGTGGATTGTGGCCTCTTGGATGATTGGGACACCAACCCACCTATAATCTAGTACAGGGGTGGCAAATAACTTTGTCTTGAGTGCCACATCGTGATTAAAAAAATTGAGTGGAGAGCCGCATATATTTTTTTCGGACCGATTTGTTTGTAAAAAGCAATTTGCGGGCCAGAAAAAGGGCAGTCATTTAAAATGTGTAGGTCAATTATAATTTCAACATACTTTCTATCTAGTTTAAGACATTGAAAAGTGGCCTTCAGTGTTTTTTAACTCAAATTATATATATTTTTAACTCAAACCTACAGGGGCCCGATTGAATGGGCTCGCATGTTTGGAAGTTTGTATGTTTTCTTCCACCCCTGGTCTAGTAGTTCATCACTCAATGGGTGAGGTAAAGTTTTTTAATACAAGAAGAAATCTGAAGTAAGTGATAAATGGCCATAAGTGTTAACTGACAGGATGTAAGGTCTGTAAACTCTAGCTGAAAGGATGATCAGATTGGAAAAGCTCAATTTCTATTCTTGCCAGACCATGAGCGAGGCTATTCGAAGTCACCACCAATTAATGCAGTTATTTTTAAATGACACCCTCAACAAGGTACACTTAAGCTATTTCCATATATGAATTGGATAGTGTGAGTGCATGGGGCTTTGGAAAGATGAGTGGGGGGTTGGTTCTGGGGCAGTGAATGAAGGGTCGGTGCTGAAGGACAGTCAATGGTAAAGTGGTGTTGGGGTCAGTTGCTTGGCAGTCTGTGTGTGTTTGTGTGTGAGGGGGGTTGATGGTTTGAGAGAGTTGTCCCAATGGACATTCCTCCCTGCCCTGTCACTAGCACTTAACTGTAATCAATAGATAGTTGGAGAACCGGAATAGCTCTGCGCTGTTAGGACCAACCGTCTGCGATAGCGGCCCACAAATAGACCAAGTGAGGCTGCAGAGACAGAATGTGTCTGTGCCCTTTTAACCCAACCATGAGATGCGTCAGCCAACCGCTTTTCTAAGCGAAGTGGGTAAATCGAGCTCAAGCAGAAAACTGGTTTACTACCAGTCACTTAGGGTATAAAATTCCAAGGCATCAGTGAGACACAGCCTGAAGAGAGAGGCCAGAGAGTATTTCAAGGCTACTGGAGAGGATGGGGGCTCAGAGAAGGTAATGAACTTTGATCATAAGTTACCCTGGACCCCAACCTCCATTGTGCAGAAAACGCTCATACACTGAAGAGTCTAATACTAATAACACTGAAGAGTCTATACTAATAACACTGAAGAGTCTATACTAATAACACTGAAGAGTCTATACTAATAACAGCTTGTTCAGAGGCTCAGTGGCAGGTCTCAGGTCGAGGAGTGAACTCAACTGGCCACAGTAGAGCAGAGTTACAGTTCAGAGAGAAGGGCTTCAGTTCCTACCCTAACCCAGCCTGTGACTGAGAGAACCTGAACTTCCTCCTTCCCCATATTTATCCCACTGGGCACACACTGGTTGAATCAACATTGTTTCCAAGTCATTTCATTGAAATTACATTGAACCAACGTGGAATAGACGTTGAATTGACACCTGTGCCCAGTGGGATGGTACTGACAGATGCATACTGTGCAGGTAGCAGAGTACATACATTTTTCATGTGTGGGTTTGATAGTGCAACATGGTAAGGTACAAAGTGAAAAGCCCCTCAGTTCCATGTGCCAGATGATGTGTGTATGTGTGAGTATTTTGTTCTGCGTGTTGAAGTACTGTATTTATTGTCATCAGTAGAAAACATTGTACCCCTGTGATATTCTCAAATGCCCCCCACCTCTCTCTCTCTGTCTCGCTCTCTCTCTCTCTCTTCTTCTTTCTCTCACCAGCATTCTGGCTGTGAAACCTGAGTCCGGGGCCAAATATAGCCAGACACAGTGAGCGGTCAGACGCTGGGACAGATGGGACAGCAGGCCATGCTAGAGGAACCACTCAAGTAGACCTCGACCCGCTCACAGTGCTCGCACTCACTGCCCGAAAAATACGCTTCTGTCTATGCTCACAAACATATAATCTTAATAGGAAACTGGAACTACTAGACTGGGACAATACCTTTGGACAAAAACTTGAAGGTAAGGCTGTCCTTTCTCATTTCTTGTTGACATTATTAGCAGAATGTCCTGGAGGCACTGTTGTTTCCTTTGTTTTATAATTTTGGATATTAGAAAAACGCTTAGAAAAATCTATAGCTATCAATTTACTGTCAGTGTATGTGGGGATATTCACTTTTGCATTTGAGACACGGTTAGTGTCAGGACTGCAGGGAAAATATGGTTATTTTCACTAGATATTACAGTTACATTAAAGTACATTACAAAGTAAGTACTAAGTACATAGTTATTGAACAGATAGCAGAAATGACGTATTCTGTTCTATTCTGTAATTGACGGCAGTAGCCATTGACCTTTTGTCAATTCGTTTTAATATTTTGTAATATTCCCCATTCATAATTAGTCAATGTTGTATAGATAACGCATTTTTCACATGGAAAATAACAGGCTCTGAAGAGAACCCTGTCCCTTGTGCCTGACTGTGTATACATACACTACCGTTCAAAAGTTTTGGGGTCACTTAGAAATGTCCTTGTTTTCGAAAGACAAGCAATTTTTCCATTAAAATAACATAAAATTGATCAGAAATACAGTGTAGACATTGTTAATGTTGTAAATGGATATTATAGCTGGAAACGGCTGATTTTTAATGGAATATCTACATAGGCGTACAGAGGCTCATTATCAGCAACCATCAGTCCTGTGTTCCAATGTCACGTTGTGTTTGCTAATCCAAGTTTATCATTTTATAAGGCTAATTGATCATTAGAAAACCCTTTTGCAATTATGTTAGCACAGCTGAAAACTTTTGTGCTGATTAAAGAAGCAATAAAAATGGCCTTCTTGAGACTAGTTGAGTATCTGGAGCATCAGCAATTGTGGGTTCGATTACAGGCTCAAAATGGCCAGAAACAAATAACTTTCTTCTGAAACTCGTCAGTCTATTCTTGTTCTGAGAAATGAAGGCTATTCTATGCGAGAAATTGCCAAGAAACGTAAGATCTCGTACAACGCTGTGTACTACTCCCTTCACAGAACAGCGCAAACTGGCTCTAACCAGAATAGAAAGAGGAGTGGGAGGCCCCGGTGCACAACTGAGCAAGAGGACAAATACATTAGAGTGTCTAGTTTGAGAAACAGACGCCTCACAGGTCCTCAACTGGCAGCTTCATTAAATAGTACCCGCAAAACACCAGTCTCAACGTCAACAGTGAAGAGGCGACTCCGGGATGCTGACCTTCTAGGCAGAGTTTCAAAGAAAAATATATATCTCAGACTGCCCATCTTAATCTTAATCAACTCTGCCTAGAAGGTCAGCATCCCAGAGTTGCCTCTTCACTGTGCACCGGGGCCTCCCACTCCTCTTTCTATTCTGGTTAAAGTCAGTTTGTGCTGTTCTGTGAAGGAAGTAATACACAGCGTTGTACGAGATCTTCAGTTTTTTGGCAATTTCTCGCATGGAATAGCCTTAATTTCTCAGAACAAGAATAGACTGACGAGTTTCAGAAGAAAGAACCCACAATTGCTGATGCTCCAGATACTCAACTAGTCTCAAGAAGGCCAGTTTTATTGCTTCTTTAATCAGCACAAAAGTTTTCAACTGTGATAACATAATTGCAAAAGGGTTTTCTAATGATCAATTAGCCTTTTAAAATGATAAACTTGGATTAGCAAACACAACGTGCCATTGGAACACAGGACTGATGGTTGCTGATAATGGGCCTCTGTACGCCTATGTAGATATTCCATAAAAAATCCGCCGTTTCCAGCTACAATATCCATTTACAACATTAACAATGTATTTCTGATAAGTTTGATGTTATTTGAATGGACAAAAAAAAAATATATATTTCGAAAACAAGGACATTTCTAAGTGACCCCAAACTTTTGAACGGTAGTGTATGTTCCAAAGTGCATTCTACATATGCATATACACGCTTCTACTTTCATCTGACGTGTGTTCCAGACCACCTGTTTAGGAAGTGACAGAGCTATGCTTGAGCTATTGATCACTGTCAGTGGAGAGTTTCATAAATGTGTGGTATGACCAAAACAAACACTTTCCCTCTGTGAAGGTGCGCACACATGTGTTTGTGTGACTGCCGCTGTAGTTGATCTAGTCTTTTGCAGTGTATGGACAATACAACTCTAATTATAACATCATTATCATGGTTAAAACTTTGATTGTTTTATGCTTGTAGTAAATTGTTGCTGAGACAGAGAGAGAGAGAAAGAGAGAGAGAGAGAGAGAGAGAGAGAGAGAGAGAGAGAGAGAGAGAAGAATAAGGAAGCGAGAGGAGAGTGAGGGAAATAGACAATTAGGGAGAGAATAGAGGGAGGGATGGTGACAAATGCCAGTCATGCACACCTTGACCTCCCGAAAGCCTTTGTTAATACCCACCAGCTGTGCCCAAAGAATGCCAGCCTAAATCATCCTCAACTGTAGGTTGAGGAGGGAGGGTGTGTTTCTGTTCACTGTGAGGTCTGTTTTTATTTATTCAGATGACTATGTGTATGTTGTTTATAATTAGTGTCTTGCTGTATCTACTGTGTTAACTGAATGTCATATGTGTGTGTGTGTGTTTCAGGATGCAGGACGGGAGCTGGAATCAATCCCTACCCCTCTCTCTGCTTATGAAGGATGGGGGCGGGGTACTAGAGAGAGACGGGGGGGTGTTCTCGGAGGCGTCGTCTGATGGGGATCTGTACCTGGACTCTATGGCGGATCTGGACGCCGGAGTCGGGGACTTTTCAGACCTTACCGCCTTCCTCAGCCAAGACGAAATCAACCGCAGCCTGGACCTGGCTCGGGAGGCCTTCAGTGACGCCGAAGACCAAGGAGGTCCTGTCTCCCCTATTCCTAGAACCCAGGAGCCGGCTCTCTACTTCCCCTCCCCCCTCAACACCACAGAATACCTGACCAAAAGCCCCAGTTTCCCCCACCAGTCCAAAGCCCCCTCCCCAGATGACAGCCACTCAGTCAAAGTCACCTCCAGCCAGAGTTTCCACCTCAGCAGGCCCATACAGGCCACATGCGAAGCCACTGCCTTGCCTGAGAAGTTTGTCTGCCACAAGAACATCACCCCAGTCTACAAGCAGGACAAGCCCCGACTGGTCCATGAGGGCTTGGAGCTGAATGAACGGGCTGCCTCCGCCACTGAGTTCTGTAGCCGTGCTGCCACCTTCATCGAGGAGCTGTCCTCCATCTTTAAAGGCTCCTCCCGGCTGGAGCAAAAGGGGGAGGAAGACTCCTCCTCTCCCGACAGCGGGTACCTGTCTCCTAAGAGCCACTGGCTGCCCCCCCAAGGCTCTGCCTCTGTTCCCTCACAGCCTCTCAGCCAACAGGGGGCACCACAGCAGGGCGAGCCAGGCCTGGGTACCCAGCCAGCAAGCATGATGGGCGGAATGGGTGTGATGGGTGTCCCTCCTCTGAGTGTGACGGGGGAGCCAGTTGTCTCTGGTTTGATGAGTGTGAATGAATTGATGGGGGAGCAGCACAGTGGAGCCCAGTTGATGGGGGAGCAGTACAGTGGAGCCCAGTTGATGGGGATGCAGCACAATGGAGCCCAGTTGATGGCGAAGCAGCAGCACAGTGGAGCCCAGTTGATGGGGGAGCAGCACAGGGGAGCCCAGTTGATGGGGGAGCAGATGCACAGTGGAGCCCAGTTGATGGGGAAGCAGCAGCACAGTGGAGCCCAGTTGATAGGGAAGCAGCAGCACAGTGGAGCCCAGTTGATAAGGAAGCTGCAGCACAGTGGAGCCCAGTTGATGGGGGAGCAGCACAGTGGAGCCCAGTTGATGGGGGAGCAGCAGCACAGTGGAGCCCAGTTGATGGGGAAGCAGCAGCACAGTGCAGCCCAGTTGATAGGGAAGCCGCAGCACAGTGGAGCCCAATTGATGGGGGAGCAGCACAGTGGAGCCCAGTTGATAGGGAAGCAGCATAATTGTGGAGCCCAGTTGATGGGGGAGGAGCACAGTGGAGCCCAGTTGATAGGGAAGCAGCAGCACAGTGGAGCCCAGTTGATGGGGGAGCAGCACAGTGGAGCCCAGTTGATGGGGGAGCAGCAGCACAGTGGAGCCCAGTTGATGGGGAAGCAGCAGCACAGTGGAGCCCAGTTGATAAGGAAGCAACAGCACAGTGGAGCCCAGTTGATAGGGAAGCAGCAGCACAGTGGAGCCCAGTTGATAGGGAAGCAGCAGCACAGTGGAGCCCAGTTGATGGGGGAGCAGCAGCACAGTGGAGCCCAGTTGATAGGGAAGCCGCAGCACAGTGGAGCCCAGTTGATGGGGGAGCAGCACAGTGGAGCCCAGTTGATGGGGGAGCAGCACAGTGGAGCCCAGAGCGTTGCTGGAGACCTGTCACTGCCACATTTCACCCAGAGGCTGAAGAGCCAGGAGGTGGCAGAGGGACACCCCATCCGACTGGAGTGCAGGGTAGCAGGAAACCCTCAGCCGCTGGTCAGGTAAGGAGAATGGTGCTTGGTGGAAGTCTGCTTTGGTTGTGATCATATTGGTGATGAGTATCAGTAGAATGAGACAGTTAACACCAGTGGTAGAGCACAAGAGTTGGTTCATTCATTGTGTGCATTATCAGTATAGTAAATATGACTGCTGCATGTTCCTCAACATACAGTGAGGGAAAAAAGTATTTGATCCCCTGCTGATTTTGTACGTTTGCCCACTGACAAAGAAATGATCAGTCTATAATTTTAATGGTAGGTTTATTTGAACAGTGAGAGACAGAATAACAACAAAACAATCCAGAAAAAAATGCATGTCAAAAATGTTATAAATTGATTTGCATTTTAATGAGGGAAATAAGTATTTGACCCCCTCTCAATCAGAAAGATTTCTGTCTCCCAGGTGTCTTTTATACAGGTAACGAGCTGAGATTAGGAGCACACTCTTAAAGGGAGTGCTCCTAATCTCAGTTTGTTACCTGTATAAAAGACACCTGTCCACAGAAGCAATCAATCAATCAGATTCCAAACTCTCCACCATGGCCAAGACCATCATATAATTGGCATATACATTACTCTTACTGAATTTCCACGTGGGCGAGGATATTGGAAATTTAATCAAAGCCTATTGGATGATAATTTATTTATAATTAGAACAAAGGAATTTATAACTGACTTTTTCCGACATAACATAGGTACAGCAAATCCCCTTATTGTATGGGACACCTTTAAATGTGCCTTTAGAGGCCATGCAATTCAGTACTCATCTCGAAAACAAAAGCAATTTAGGTCAAAAGAGTTTATACTAACAAAGGAAATAGAAAGTCTAACAGAACAGATAGATAAATAAAAACTGTAACATAGAGGCTCAGAATAAATTAGAGGAAAAACTAAAAGAAATTGAGAACTTATTCAAGAAAGATCAAGTGTAATATATTATAAAAATAAAGCAAACTGGATGGAATATGGGGAAAAATGTACTTTACAACAAAGTACTTTAAGCATATGTTTTCTTTTCAGTCGCCTCCATCTCCTCTAACTGAAGCTAATTGTAGAGATTTTTTTTCTATTGATAATGTAAAATTAACAGCCATACAGAAAGACTCATGTGAAGGTGAAATTACAGAGGAGGAACTTCTGGATGCAATTAAAGAATTTAAGTCTGGGAAAACTCCAGGGTTGGATGGCATACCAGTCGAGGTATACCAAACCTTTTTTGATATACTAAGAGGACCGTTATTAGCATGTTTTAACCACTCCTATGTAAATGGTAGATTATCTGACACTCAAGAAGAAGATCTCATTATTACTGAAACAGGATACAAGTGGAAAATATAAAGATCCAGTCCATTAAAAAAATTGGAGGCCCCCTTACACTTCAGTGTTGTGATGTACAGTGGGGAAAAAAGTATTTAGTCAGCCACCAATTGTGCAAGTTCTCCCACTTAAAAAGATGAGAGAGGCCTGTAATTTTCATCATAGGTACACGTCAACTATGACAGACAAAATGAGAAAAAAAAATCAAGAAAATCAAATTGTAGGATTTTTAATGAATTTATTTGCAAATTATGGTGGAAAATAAGTATTTGGTCAATAACAAAAGTTTCTCAATACTTTGTTATATAGCCTTTGTTGGCAATGACACAGGTCAAACGTTTTCTGTAAGTCTTCACAAGGTTTTCACACACTGTTGCTGGTATTTTGGCCCATTCCTCCATGCAGATCTCCTCTAGAGCAGTGATGTTTTGGGGCTGTCGCTGGGCAACACAGACTTTCAACTCCCTCCAAAGATTTTCTATGGGGTTGAGATCTGGAGACTGGCTAGGCCACTCCAGGACCTTGAAATGCTTCTTACGAAGCCACTCCTTCGTTGCCCGGGCGGTGTTTGGGATCATTGTCATGCTGAAAGACCCAGCCACGTTTCATCTTCAATGCCCTTGCTGATGGAACGTGGTTTTCACTCAAAATCTCACGATATATGGCCCCATTCATTCTTTCCTTTACACGGATCAGTCGTCCTGGTCCCTTTGCAGAAAAACAGCCCCAAAGCATGATGTTTCCACCCCCATGCTTCACAGTAGGTATGGTGTTCTTTGGAAATAATCTCCCAAATATCACTATTTCTAAAACAAGCCATAGAAAGTTGGTTGCAATTTCATTTTAATCCTCCAGAAACTACAGAACAAATAATGCAACATATATTGTGGTTACATTTAAATATACTAATTGACAAAAAACCTTTATTTTTTGACAAAATGTTTAAAAAAGGTATAGTCTTCGTAAATGATATCATCGGTAGGACTGGTGGAGTTATGTCGCACATGCAGCTAACAAAAACATATGGAAATGTCTGCTCTACCCAAAATTACAACCAAATAATTGCAGCTTTACCGCAAAAATGGAAGAGGAAAGTGGAAGGGGGAGAAAGTAAGGAACTTGTCTGTCGGCCTTGCATTAAAGAACATAATTGGTTAAGGAAAACTGTGATAAATAAAAAAGTATATCAGTTTCATTTAAGGACCAAAGGATTGACAGCCGTCTCATATAGATTGCAAAATAGTTGGGAAGAGATTTTTGACGTACCGATCTCATGGCATAGTGTTTATGAACTGACATGCAAAACGACACCGGATTCAAAAATTAGAATCTTTCAATTTAAATTATTATATAAAATTCTTGCTACCAATATAATGTTATTTATATGGGGGATACAATCTCCCAGCTCTGCAGATTTTGCTGTGAAGAGACAGAATCATTAGATCATTTGTTTTGGTACTGTCCATTTGTAGCTTGTTTTTGGACACAGGTCCAGGAATGGCTAAAGGATTGCAATATTTACATGGAGCTAACCTTGCAGATAGCATTACTGGGAGATCTGAAAAGTCATAGTCAATCGATCAATAATATAATAATACTTTTAGCAAAAATGTTTATTTTTAATTCACAATCTGTAGAAGCAATGAGAATAGAAAGGTAAAACATCAGAACTTTTGTAAAACATCACAGTACAGTTGAAATATATATGGCAAATAGAAATCCTATATGGATGGTGTTAAGAGATAGATTGGAGGTGTTGAATGGAGTTGAAGGATGGGACTAATAACAAATAACAACAAATAATAACAAGATAACTAATAATGTAAGCATACTGTGTCCAGAATAAGTATATAGGTTGTATGTTGGGAGCTTTTGGGAAAGAGCACAGTTAGAAAGATATGGCATATAGAAGCAAACCGGATGGACATCGAATGAAAATGATCGGAGAGGTTGAGAGTAGAAGAAGTTCAGGAGCAAAAACAAATAAAATATAATTATTGTAAAATTGACTGTGTCCATAAAATGTAGATAGTAAGTATAAGCTGGAAGTAGAGGCCTAAGCATTGTTGTTCACTAATTTACCCCAAGTAGGGAAAGGATGGCGGGGTTGAAAAGTAATAAAGGGGAGTATATATATAAAAAAATATGGGGGATTGGAAGTGATGCAGACAATTACATTGATGGAAGTTACAATCTATCTGCAATATTAAGCTGATCTACCCCCCCCAAAAAAAAAAAAAAAATAATAATAAAAAAAAAAAAAAAAAAAAAAAAAACAAGAACAAAGAGCTCTCCAAGGATGTCAGGGACAAGATTGTAGACCTACACACGGCTGGAATGGGCTACAAGAACATCGGCAAGCAGCTTGGTGAGAAGGTGACAACAGTTGGTGCGATTATTCACAAATAGAACAAACACAAAAGAACTGTCAATCTCCCTCGGCCTGGGGCTCCATGCAAGATCTCACCTCGTGGAGTTGCAATGATCATGAGAACGGTGAGGAATCAGCCCAGAACTACACGGGAGGATCTTGTCAATGATCTCAAGGCAGCTGGGACCATAGTCACCAAGAAAACAATTGGTAACACACTACGCCGTGAAGGACTGAAATCCTGCAGCACCCGCAAGGTCCCCCTGCTCAAGAAAGCACATATACAGGGCCGTCTGAAGTTTGCCAATGAACATCTGAATGATTCAGAGGAGAACTGGGTGAAAGTGTTGTGGTCAGATGAGACCAAAATGGAGCTCTTTGGCATCAACTCAACTCGCCGTGTTTGGAGGAGGAGGAATGCTGCCAATGACCCCAAGAACACCATCTCCACCGTCAAACATGGAGGTGGAAACATTATGCGTTGGGGGTGTTTTTCTGCTAAGGGGAAAGGACAACTTCACTGCATCAAATGGACGATGGACGGGGCCATGTACCGTCAAATCTTGGGTGAGAACCTCCTTCCCTCAGCCAGGGCATTGAAAATGGGTCGTGGATGGGTATTCCAGCATGACAATGACCCAAAACACACGGCCAAGGCAACAAAGGAGTGGCTCAAGAAGAAGCACATTAAGGTCCTGGAGTGGCCTAGCCAGTCTCCAGACCTTAATCCCATAGAAAATCTGTGGAGGGAGCTGAAGGTTCGAGTTGCCAAATGTCAGCCTTGGAACCTTAATGACTTGGAGAAGATCTGCAAAGAGGAGTGGAACAAAATCCCTCCTGAGATGTGTGCAAACCTGGTGGCCAACTACAAGAAACGTCTGACCTCTGTGATTTCCAACAAGGGTTTTGCCACCAAGTACTAAGTCATGTTTTGCAAAGGGGTCAAATACTTATTTCCCTCATTAAAATGCAAATCAATTTATAACATTTTTGACATGTGTTTTTCTGGATTTTGTTGTTGTTATTCTGTCTCTCACTGTTCAAATAAACCTACCATTAAAAGTATAGACTGATCATGTCTGTCAGTGGGCAAACGTACAAAATCAGCAGGGGATCAAATACTTTTTTCCCTCACTGTAAACTCATATTTATTTATACGCTACTGTATATCTGTTTATCCTTTTATTAAGATCTCCAATGGTATGTGTTACCCATTTGATGTAGTTGGTAAAGATCAGAACTCTGGCATCCTTCCTTCTTATACTGGAAAATACAGACACAGATACTATATTTAGTGCTATCGTTGCAAGGCAGTTGATCCTCTTGTTGGTCCGACACCAATTTCCTTCTCCTCTAAGGGAAGTGGATCCCCATGGTGGAGACTGTTGAAACGATCCCCCTCTGGAAGGGAGTCAAATCAAACACACTGACTCCAGTGGAGGCTGCTGAGGGGAGGACGGCTCATAATAATGGATGGAACGAAGCAAATGGAATGGCATCAAACCATGTTTGATGTATTTGATACCATTCCACTGATTCCTCACCAGCCATTACCACAAGCCCGTCCTCCCCAATTAAGTTGCCACCAACCTCCTGTGACTGACTCCCCATTTGGAGACACACACGTGGTAACTTTTGAGGATATTTGGATATTTGGTGAAAAATATCCAACTGAACAACTTGGGTACATACTTATATAGAGTGGTGTCTGTGGTAGGAAGCAGAGCCTTCAGTCAGAGATAGGGTTGCTTGATGGGTGTGGGAGTGGTATGTTGAGGGAGCGGGAGGAGGTGAGAGCTGTTGGGTCGACAAGGCCTCCTTGGAACACCTGCTGTGTGGTTGGGACAGTTCCACTGTGTGTAACCACAGTAACCGATAAGCCTTGCGACCAGGTGATAGTGGACAACACCGTCAGGTCAGGGAGTTTCTGCCTGCTTGGTCATTCTGTTCTTTATTTAAATATACCACCCCCTGGATATAGGGATTTGGACCAGTCCACCCGTAAACTAAAATTACCCTTCTCTTCTTGTTTCTGGAAGTAGCAGTCTCTAAGCTGTGAAACTTCTCAAACATAAATTAAATTAGTGTGCCCAATGGACTTATTTGTTATTGTCTAGTTGTGGCCGGGCGTGGGGTTCATTTTGAGGAGAAGAACTTCATCCTGCCTGGTTGAGGTTGACTAACCCTGGAGGGTGGAGGTGAGAGGAGGCCAGGGTGTTCTGGGGAGTTTTGGACCCCCTGAGGTTTGTGTAATCCTGGGTACAGAGGGTGAGAGGCCTGGGGGCCGTGGTTCTGATATGGTTCTCTCCTGTCCTGCTGGGCTATAAGGGGCCTCTTCCTCTGCTGTATAAATAGTCTCCAAGCCAACAGGAGCCAGGCCCTGAAATGTAAGCAATGTCATGACACAGCATATGTCATGACACAGCGTTTTCCATCACTCTCCACCTCTTCACCTCTCCACACCTTCTTGAGAAATATGAAGGTAGTAGTGTAGTGTTGTATTTGACCACTAGGAGACAGCGTCCGTTTCCGAATATCCATACTAGCATACTGTACCACATACTTAAACTGCATACTAATTTCGGCGTTTGATGTAGTAGAATTCACTCATCTTTTCAGAGTCGATCAATTTACGCGCTGTACCAAAATGAAGGAATGGTGGGAGTCAACGCAATCGTGCATTAGATGACGCATTCAGAGTACTATTTTAGAAATTTCACATACTATTAAAAGTTATTTTTTCACATACTATTTAGTACGCTAGTATGGGTATTCGGACACGGCCAGTGCAGCAATGCAGACATAGAGAGAGAGAGAGTGAAAGAGAGAGGAAGAGGGGGAGCGGTTAATATGGTCTGAGACTGGAATATTTTTGTTTGTTTTGTGTAACCTATATATACACTGAACAAAAATATAAATGCAACATGCAACAATTTAAAAGATTTTACTGAGTTACAGTTCATATAAGGAAATCAGTCAATTGAATAAATTAATTAGGCCCTAATCTATGGATTTCACATGACTGGGAATACAGATATGTATCTGTTGGTCACAGATCCCTTAACAAAAAAGGTAGGGGCGTGGATCAGAAAACCAGTCAGTATCTGGTGTGACCACCATTTGCCTCATGCAGCGCGACACATCTCCTTCGCACAGAGTTGATCAGGCTGTTGATTGTGACCTGTGGAATGTTGTTCCATTCCTCTTCAATGGCTGTGTGAAGTTGCTGGGTATTGGCGGTAACTGGAACACGCTGTCGTACACCTCAATCCAGAGCATCCCAAACATGCTCAATGGGTGACATGTCTGGTGAGTATGCATGCCATGGAAGAACTGGGAAATGTTCAGCTTCCAGGAATTGTGTACAGATCCTTGCAAAATGGGGCTGTGCATTATCATGCTGAAACATGAGGTGATGGCGGTGGATGAATGGCACGACAATGGGCCTCAGGATCTCATCATGGTATCTCTGTGCATTCAAATTGTCATTGATAGAATGCAATTGTGTTCATTGTGCGTAGCTTATGCCTGCCCATACCATAACCCCACCGCCACCATGGGGCACTCTGTTCACAACGTTGACATCAGCAAACTGCTCGCCCACACAACGCCATCTGCCGGTACAGTTGAAACCGGGATTCATCTGTGAAGAGCACACTGCTCCAGCATGCCAGTGGCCATCGAAGGTGAGCATTTGCACACTGAAGTCGGTTACAACGCCAAACTGCAGTCAGGTCAAGACCTTGGTAAGGACAACGAGCACGCAGATGGGCTTCCCTGAGACTGTTTCTGACAGTTTGTGCAGAAATTCTTCAGTTGTGTAACCCCACAGTTTCATCAGCTGTCCGGGTGGCTGGTCTCAGACGATCCCGCAGGTGAAGATGCCAGATGTGGAGGTCCTGGGCTGGCGTGGTTACACGTGGTCTGCAGTTGTGAGGCCAATTGGACGTACTGCAAATTCTCTAAAATGACGTTGGAGGTGGCTTATAGTAGAGAAATGAACATTCAATTCTCTGGCAACAGCTCTGGTGGACATTCATGCAGTCAGCATGCCAATTGCACACTCCCTCAAAACTTGAGACATCTGTGGCATTGTGTTATGTGACAAAACTGCACATTTTAGTGTGGCCTTTTATTGTAACCCGCACAAGGTGCACCTGTGTAATGATCATGCTGTTTAATCCGCTACTTGATATGCCACACCTGTCAGGTGGATGGATTATCTTGGCAAAGGAGAAATGCTCACTAACAGGGCTGTAAACATTTTTTAGAAAAATAAGCTTTTTGTGCGTATGGAACATTTCTGAGATATTTTATTTCAGCTCATGAAACATGGGACCAACACTTTACATGTTGCATTTATATTTTTGTTCAGTATAGTTGATTTATGTGTGAATGTTGCTTGTATAATCAGTCTGGAATTGTGATTTGGATTTTTATAAGTCTTGAATTGTCTATGCATTGTTCATGTGAAACTGAGGTCTTGTTTACTTCCAGTCATGGAGATCTGGATAGAACTTCACACAGATGTTTTGTCACTTATTTTATCCTGCAGATACCCACTTTTAAGGCTTGACTTGTTTTCTGTCTATTGACACTAGGTGGCACTATGGTATTTATAATTCAGAAAGATGTTGCACAATGTCTTCACAGTCCCCAATGGAATTTGCAACATCTAGGAAGTCCAAATGACATCCCAGTATTAAATGAATATGTTGACAACATGTTGACATAGATGTGTAAGAACATCTACTGGTGTTGGTTTCACAGGTATGAACAAATGTCAGAGGTTTTCCACCTCAACCAGTCAACTGCTTCAGTTGTGTATATTTTGTGTGTTCTCTAGGTAAATGGATGGTGTATCAGGGTAAATACATTGGGGTTAAAAGGCTGAGCTATGGCGTTTCATAAACACACTGTTCCTCTGCCCTTCATCCATCTCACTCACCAGGACAGACACACAATAACATTCAGACTGCCCTGGGACTGAGTGGTATAAAGAGAACATGCCTCTTCTCCTGGTGAAGACTATTCGACAGTGTTGTAAGGGAAATGTTGAGTACCAGAGAATCCATGTAAAAGGAAACACACTTTCCCTGTAAAATTCTACACAATATTTTTGGTTCTGGACTGGCCCTAGTTATGTAATACACCATGAGAGGTCATATCTCCTCCTACATTGCAGACAAGGAATAAGTAACATCTTAATTTGAGCTGTACAGGGATCTTATACTGCTACGATACACCCAAACAGTTCCAGGTGTGGCGAGGCATGCCAGTATGTAAACATTGGGTTTGGCATAGCAGACAGTGTAAATTGCACCCATACCTTGTAGGCGCTGTATAGATGTATGCATGCTGGGTTTGTTTATACAGGCCAAGTGGGGTCTGCATGTGTGTGAGGATTTTAAGGATGAAGATACCTCCCTGCGTGTGTGTGTGTGTGTCACAGTCACATCTGTTCCCTGCGGTTGTACCCCAGGAGTTGCAGAGGGGCTGTGTTTTGGGAATTACCCTGTAATGTGATATCAGGGGTGATTTACTGCAGAAAAGTACCACATGGATGCAGTGAACAACGGCTACCTCCCTGCCTAGGCGCTAAAGGTTATGTTGTTTTAGCAACATTTTACAGAATGTTTTGCATTTAGCCTACATATTAATTGCTATTTAATTATAATATTTTAAGAATGACATACAAATAAAAATCTTATGTATTGTGTATTTTTCAGTTACGCTTTATCTCCATGGAAGCTATCCATAGATACCAGGCCGTAGAGATAGCCTGGGTAATATGGACATGGTTTATTATCTGTCATAACAACTTCTTAGGAAGGGTCATGATTCTAACTCCTTGGTCAAGCACATCAACTGCTAATCTAATCAAATGAGATACCAGCACAGATACTAGATAGATAGCTTTGCCTTCCTTCCTTCCTGCCCCCCCATGGCACGCTTGTCTCAAAAGGCATTCTCACGCACACACATGTTTTCTATGTGCATCTATGTACCCTTTGTTCCTCGTTACTCTAATTTCAATAGCTAGTACATGATTGTATGTGTATGTGTGGTGTGTTTGCATAGGTGTTAGTATTTGTATCTCCCTTTACTTCCCACCAATCTGTCTTAAATGGTTCTTCCTCATTTTAACACTCATTTCCCTTGGGCAGGGGCTTTGATGGGGTTGCCAGGTCTTGGCAAGAGGTCCCCCGTCCTCACCTCTAAAAATGCCTTTTGCACATTCACTCTCAGGGTAACGAGTTGGTGATGAGCTAGTAGTGCCAACATTTTACATGCCCACTGGGAGAGGCATTCCTGGTGGCAGGGCGCGGTCCCGTGGTCATGGGCGACTGCAGTTGTCTGTGGTCTTGGTGCGAGAGACCTACGGTCGCTGAGCGCCTGGTATTCCTCAGTGTACACTCCGGCTCCTCAAACACACTGAGAGAGAGGCCTGTTTGGCATTAGGACGGTGTGTGTGTGTGTCTGTGTGCGTGTGTGCATGTGGGTGTGTCGGGGACACCTCCTCTAAAGGTCTGGTTATATTAGCAGCGGGGTTGTTTTATAATGCCTTGCCCAGAGAGAGATGATGCCATAACTATACATACAGAAGAGTGGAAGATAATCCATCTTTGCTGTGGGTTGAAGGATGTACATGTGTACGTGAATATGTGTGTGTGGTTGGCTGCAGAAGTATTTAAATTGTATTTAGTATTTCAAATTGCTACTAACCATCTTCTGCATCTCTCCAAATATTTTATGTGAAATTTGGTGGTTTCTTCATTTGATTTCCTGTATAAAGTGCAGCCAGGGACGAACACCAGCTTTCTCTCACCAGCTTTATCTATTTTTTCCACTTTGAGTAACTAACTTTACCTGCAATATGCTTAACTCAATCAACTTTTGCACCCGTTTTTGCAGCTGTTTCAGTACAGCATTACAGAGAGAGTGAGGGGGAGAGGGCAAACTCCACTGAACTAGTTTCAGTGTATGGAATCACTTGGGAGTTTCTGGATTTTGGGTAAACTTCTCCTTTAATGATTCCAGCTTTAATTGTTGTGTGTTTGATGTGTTATTTAAAGGCTTTCTGTTTAATGTTCTTTCTTGTCATCACCATAACTGCTTGTCGTGCAAACAAAGCATTTTCTAAACTGGTCTTGGAGTAGAGAGTTGGTAGTGAGACCTAGAAGGAGACGGCTGTGGGGAAGCAGCCTTGGCTGCACGGGATAAACCAAACACACACAACCACAGAGGAAACTACAGGAAGATGAGAAGCTAGAGAGGAATTTTGCGATGAAATCCAAACAAGGCTGCGTTTCCATCACCAGGAGCACACGGCATTCCCTACGCTGGTGTTGGAATTTGTCATCAAATATAGGATTTTTGTTTAAATTAAAAGCTCCTATTTGCACAGCCTAAGTTTACTATTTTTTCCCTCCTAGTGTAACAGATAACTCAGCTATAGCTGTTATCCACATCAGTTATATAATATGGTACCATAGGGCTTCGGTCCTCATCCTCATATATTGAAAAAACTGGACAGACATGGGTAGATGTGAGATTCGAATGAGAAAAGAGAGAGTGAGAGTGATGGGGGGGGGGGGGGTAAAGGAGATGTTGGCAGATTGTGATGTTGCTGTTGTAGTAAAGAGATACATTAGCTCTTCCTCTTTATTTCCATTTAACAACAGCTATAGTATGAGGTCATAGCAGCCAGCCAACCAACCCACTACTGACCTATGACGCAGTGGGACTGTAATGCTGCTGCTAACTGTTTGGCCTATTTTAGGATGGCTGTCATTTTTATATCTGCCTCATGGGCTCGTTTCATCTCCCTGGGTGGAGCACTAGCTGGCATTTTCATACCTTTTGTTAGCAGTGCATGAGAATGATGTCAAATCATAGTTCTCAATAATGACAAAGCTTAGGATAGGGATCATCAACTAGATTCAGCCGCGGGCCGATTTTTTCTTGAGCGGATGGTCAGGGGGCCGGAACATAATTACAAATCATTTGTAGACTTGATGCTTTTTATTGTTTGCAGACAGATGCGAAAGTTTCAGTTTGACGCACAGATAGTTCTCACTATGCTGTGTGTGTAAATACATGAGTAGATGTGTGCTGGTAGTTCGCACCATGCTGTTTGGGAATGTAGTGTGGTAACGGTGTAAGAGCAATCGTCAGTCAGTCCATATGCTCATTAAAGGTTACAGTGCCTTTGGAAAGTATTCAGACCCCTTGACTTTTTCCACATCTTGTTACGTTACAGTCTTATTCTACACACAATACCCCATAATGACAAAGCGAAAACAGGTTTGTAGACATTTCTGAAAATGTATTAAAAATCAAAAACAGAAATACCTTATTTACGTTAGTATTCATACCCTTTGCTATGAGACTCGAAATTGAGCTCAGGTGCATCCTGTTTCCATTGATCATCCTTGAAATGTTTCTACAACTTGATTGGAGTCCCTCTGTGGTAAATTCAATTGATTGGGCATGATTTGTCTATATAAGGTCCCACAGTTAACAGTGCATGTCAGAGCAAAAACCAAGCCATGAGGTCGAAGGAATTGTCTGTAGAGCTCAGAGTGAGGATTGTACAGATCTGGGGAAGGGTACCATAACATTTCTTAAATGGAAGAAGTTTGGAACCACCAAGACTCTTCCTAGAGCTGGCCGCCCAGCCAAACTGAACAATTGGGGGAGAAGGGCCTTAGTCAGGGAGGTGACCAAGAACCCGACGGTCACTCTGACAGAGCTCTAGAATTCCTCTGTGGAGATGGGAGAACCTTCCAGAAGCACAACCATCTATGCAGCACTCCACCAATCAGGCCTTTATGGTAGAGTGGCCAGACAGAAGCCACTCCTCAGTAAAAGGCACATGACAGCCCACTTGGAGTTTGCCAAAAGGCACCTAAAGACTCTCAGACCATGAGAAACAAGATTCTCTGGTCTGATGAAACCAATATTGAACTCTTTGGCCTGAATGCCAATCGTCACGTCTGGAGGAAACCTGGCACCATCCCTATGGTGAAGCATGGTGGTGGCAGCATCATGCTGTGGGGATGTTTTTCAGCAGCAGGGACTGGGAGACTAGTCAGGATCGTGGCAAAGATGAATGGAGCAAAGTAAAGAGAGATCCTTGATGAAAACCTGCTCCAGAGCGCTCAGGACCTCAGACTGGGGGAAGGTTCACCTTCCAACAGGACAACAACCCTAAGCACACAGACAAGACAATGCAGGAGTGGCTTCGGGACAAGTCTCTGAATGTCCTTGAGTGGCCCAGCCAGAGCCCGGACTTGAACCCGATCGAACATCTCTGGAGAGACCTGAAAATAGCTGTGCAGCAACGCTCCCCATCCAACCTGACAGAGCTTGAGAGGATCTGCAGAGAAGAATGAGAGAAACTCCCCAAATTCAGGTGTGCCAAGCTTGTAGCGTCATACCTATGAAGATTCAAGGTTGTAATCGCTGCCAAAGGTGCTTCAACAAAGTACTGAGTAAAGGGTCAGAATACTTATGTAAATGTGATATTTCCATTTTTTAGATCAGTTCTACAAACCTGTTTTTGCTTTGTCATTATGGGGTATTGAGTGTAGGAAAAAAAACAATTTAATCAATTTTAGAATAAGGCTTTAACGTAATAAAAGTTGGAAAAAGTCACTGTATGGCGTCATTACTGCCACTTTTGTACAGATGTACAGTATGTTTAATGTGCAGAGCTGTGGTGTAGTGGTAATACTCCCTGTCACCAATCACATATAGACTCCCCACTGGAGACTGGGGTTCAATCCCTGCGTCCACCCTTCCCACTGTTGATCCCACCTACCTGTATCCCCCTCTGATTTCTAAACTGTGTCAATAAAAGTGTGAAATACCCATTTAAAAAATATATACATTATGCATTGCACACATATAAACACGCACATGCACCCTTGAACAGAGGGGTGCACACACAAATACAGTAAGCTAGCTCATATGCAGTAAAGCCTTCAGATGGACACGTGTCACTGCTGTTCATCACCGGAGTGTGTTAATAACAGGCACGAAGATGGGAGCCGTTGGTTCTCAGCCTTCCTTCTGGCCCCAGACCCTGGACCCGGACCCTCCTGGGCTGGAGACAGGGTGTGAAGTTTCCCCGCTGGAGGTGAGACTTTTCCAGTTCCACTGTCTCACAGTCTGGCAGCCTGGAGCATCAAGGACAAGGAGGGTCCTCCTGTGCTCTGGCTCTTATCATCACACTTCAGCTAGGAGAAGATTTTGTGAAGAATAAATGTTTTTTGTGTGTATGATTGATTGTTCGAGGGAAGTAACAGCATTGCCTGTAATTATAAGCCTACGTCATGACCATGCATGCTGTCTATCTGTGCTAGCATTAGAACACAAAAAACAGTGAATGGTTTGGTTTTGCTGATATTCAGGGTATTCTTGATGCCTGTGGTATATGGTCAACTCAGGGTCTGTACACAAAATGACTAACTTACCAAACCAGAGAGAGATAAAGGAGGAGTGAGGAGAGACAGGGGTAAAGAGAGAATGCAAAGGGAGGTAGATAGGGAGAGGAGGAGAGAGAGAGAGGGGGATTAAGAGTTAAGATTTATATAAGTGCATTAGTGAGAGACGGTTTGGAGAGTTGAAAGTAAAATACCAGACTTGATATAAAGTGTGTCGGTGCCAGACAAAGGCAGCAGTCATGCGACCTCAGAGGCGGGTAATGCTAGAGACTACCTACAGACAGGACAGAAGGACAGGACAATACATCTCCCACAGCTTCGTCAGATACTCTTAGTGTCCTCCGTTCCAGTTCAGCTCTTAGGGTAAACACTCAGACATGCACTTACCCCCTATCATCTGGAAACCCTGATCGCATCTCACCCCACACTCACTTACATACACACTAGTGTAGTGCAGCGTTCATCAGCTCACATACAGTATGTCCAAAGTACCCCTAAAGCACACAGATAATACCTCAAGCACATACAAACTACACCTTAAACACAAAGCAGGTTTCTGGAACACACTTGGTTATAGAACCATGATAGATCTTATGAACTTGGATGAAAGGAGACTGGGATATACTTGAAAATCTCCTAATCTTGATTCGAACAGAAGAGTTACAGTTCTGAGATCAGTTCACTGTGTGTTGTGAGTCAGAGGTGAGGGCCTGTTCTACAACTGGGCCTGGTACAGTACAGCACAGAACTACATTCCTGGGCTCACCTGCATAATGACTCCCTCCAGCCATTCATCATGCTTGATAAGACACAACCATTAGATTCAGCTTACAGTAAGATGCCTTTTGATGTGTGATATTTTAGACTGTTTGTCTTGGGTTAGATTCTTCTGTGGATCCCAGGACCCAGTGTTTGAGGGCTTATAAGGCTTGATCCAATTATCTATGTCTGATATTTAAAAAGGAAGAATTCTTCATGGAATTACGATGTGTAGACTGTGTGCCTGCCTGTGTGTGTAACTGATTGTTTGTAGATTGATGGTTTGTAAATGGTGTGTGTGTGAGGGTATCTATTTTAACATACCGTGTGTATTTATGTGCATTGTGTGTTTGTCTATGTGTTCATTTGAATGTGAATGTGCAAGTGTGTGTCAGTCTGTGTGAGTGTACAAGCCTGTTTTATGACCAGATGAGGGTCATATTGGACTCATAAAACCAAGGTTGGGTTTTCCCTCCCAGATCCATGTCCATGTGACAGAATTACAGCTGTATATGTTAAACTGTCTCACTCAGACTCAGGAGAGGTATTTCTATCTCTTTCTCCATCTCTCTTTACTCACTTTGTCTCTTCTCTCCACCATTGTCATTATCTTCGTTCCTCGTTTTCTCCTCCTCTCCTCGCGCCTCCTCCTCCAGCTCTCTGTCCCTGTTTCCCTCTCCCCCGTCTCCTCCCTCTCTCCCTCTCTGCACGCACAGCCAGAGTTTTTCTGTGACCCAGCCCCACAGGTCAGTGATAAGGCACTATGTTGTGCTTTGGTGATGATGTCATAGAGACAGTTGTATTCGGGGGGTCCGTGTGGGGGTATTCAGTTTCATGTAAAGGGTAGGACGAGACGTCTCATGTGTATGTGCATTAAGAGATGAGTTTGGAGGTTGGGGGTTTACAGAGTCCAAATGCTGCGGAGACAGATGACATCCTATTTTTCCTGCTGCTCCATGTCTTCTATGTCAACTAGGAGATAACAACAACAAACAGTATCACTTCATAGTTATTTATAGAGGGCCCATTTATTATTTTTCAGCATTTTATTGGTGTTCATCCTTTTTGAGCATCTACTGTATATCAAGCTTTTTTGGCAGCAGATAGACAGTAGTTTTAAACAAGAACTTCAGATGACTCAGAGTTATAGCTTTTTAGATGTAGGCTATAGCTCCTCTTAGGCAACATGTTTCTCAGAGTTCGGAGTGAGGATCACGTATTACATGGCGCCTGTTTTCTGAGACAGTCTGTCATTGAAGGTGGGTTTCTTAAAGGGGCAGTGCAGTCAAAAACGTGATTTTCCAGTTTTTTAAATATATTTCCACACTATGTGGTTGGAATAATTCTGTGAAATGTTGAAATGTATACTTGTATAAATGTATAAGAAAAGTCATTTTAGTGTAAGAGCTGTTTGAAAAGACCGCCTGAAATGTCTGCTTGTTTTGCATGGTTTTGGACTGCCTGGCGACATCACCAGGCAGTAAAAGTTAGTTGATCATATTTATTTTACAGTTATAAGAAAGGTGAAATCTTATAGTAAGTAGTTTATAATCTGATTGTTATTATATTTAGAAAGCATTTCAGTCATTTCAAGGCATATTCCCCCACTTAAAAAATAAATAATAGAAATAATATATATTTGTACTATGTACTTGAGCTTGTGTCCTCAATAGGTGAGTTCCAGACCTTTCTAGAACTGTGCAGCATTACTAGTTATTGTTTATTGCCATCTCATGAATTTTCAATTTTTTGGGGTATGTCTATTTAGGCGGAAATCTACATTTTGCCATAACGTTCATTAATAGACCAAATAACAAAGAGAGTTTGCCCTCCTCTCTGCCAATAACAGCTAGTTTTCAGGTTACATGTCCCTCCCATTAGACTCCTCCAATTAGGCCGTCAGACCACTCCCAGACACTCCTAGCAAAATTCTTGCTTGAGAAATTGCTTTTTGCTAAGAAGCTATTTTTGTTTCTGTTTGAACATAATAATTGAAAACAATCTCAGTAAGATACTTAATTGTTACCCTGAAATGATTTGATATTGAGATAAAAACATATGCTTTGGACTTTTAATTTGTGGGGGCACATCTGAGAGATAGATAAAGAGAAAGATAAAAATAGATAGAAATTCGAATCATGCTGAGGCCAGGGATCAATGCAGACACAGAGTGCTACTTTTTCTGTATTTTCCTGGATAGTCACCTGTTGAAGTGTCCTGGTGTTAAGGAATGCTTTGGATACGCTTTCTCAGACTCACTGCTCCAATTACTGGGTGTTTTAAACCTGTGTTTCAAATCTGTTCAGGAAGTTTCAATGGTCTTGAACCCCATTCTCCTGGATTCCTGTGTTTCCTTTCTTACAGAGGTGATCTATCAAACACTATATACCACCACCATCAGGAAGCAGAGGAGGTTGGGCTATGGGTGCAGATGTGTGTAGTTGTGTGTGTATGTGTGTATGTGTGTGTGTGTGTGTGTGTGTGTGTGTGTGTGTGTGTGTGTGTGTGTGTGTGTGTGTGTGTGGGTGTGTGGGTGTGTGTGTAAGCGTGTGTGTAAGCGTGTGTGCGTTTGGGGAGGTTTTTGCTGTCATGGGCTCCAGATGGCCCTAAGTGTATGTCAGTTCCTCCTTGTTAAAAGTCTACCCCACTCTTCACTAACAGGCAGTAGTCAAAGTAGACATTTGATTGAGCCAGAAACATCTAAGGGGGTTGGAGGAATAAGACATTGAATGGAATAACAGCAGACAGAGGTCAAGGGTCACATTCATTGGTCTAAGGATAGTTTTACAGGAGACCCAGAGCCTAAAGCATGTGACCTGGTCATGGATCAGGCTACTCTTTGTTGCTGTGGTCCATGTACTGTATGTCAGCAGAACTTATGTTGCTGCTACGGCAGAAACCGTAGTTAAGATGAAGTCCACCTCATGGTCTGAAAGCCTGCTATGAACTTTCCCTCTCTCTTATCCTTTGCTGGCCTGGTAGATGGAAACATAAGGATGTTCTAGAAATCTCTTTACATTTTCAGGCATTTTTACGACAACCACTTGTTTGTTTCGCCTCAGCTGAAAACGTTGCATCCTCTCCTCTCCATGTTGAGCTCATAAGTCAGTTTAGAGGTTAGAAAATGTTTAAACGTGTTCTCCTAGATGTCTGTTTTGTTGTATTACATTTGCAATTCATTGCATATTTGTTGTAATTTATGTTCCCATCGAAGTGGACTTCAAGAGTGGTCCAACTTTTCTTTGTTTGTGTCATTTGGTTTCCTTGGGGAATGTGAATACCTTGTATGATATCATGTGACCCTGACTTGACTGTTTAAAAAATTGAAGTAGCCTATTCTGTGTAAGTGGGTTTGCCTACATTTAAGCAAGAGTGTACATGTTTGTTTATGCGTGTTTCCATATGAAGTGGGTGTGTAATGTGATAGTGCTTATGTTGGACAATGTGGATATTGTACTGTAATTGTGTTTTCCATAAGGCAATGGCTGTTCATAGGGAGGAGGCTCTTCATGCTCAGTCAGTTAACTAACATCTTGGAAAGTCCTGATGCTCTCAGCCAGAACCATCTCTTCCAGTTCCAAACAATCTCTCTCTTCCTGAACCAAGCCTCCCTGAACATTGTGTTATAGCCCCAATGATTACAAAGAGGGCAGGGCAGGCCAGGTTCTATACAGACCAGAGAGCACTCAGCAACAGTAGGCCTGAGGTTGAACTACTGTGGGCCAGCCTGTTATTAGTAATGGGAACATCCAGAAACAGTAAAACTCATCGTCTCATTTACCTGGTCGCTTAAGCCGGAGGATACACACACAGTTATTGTCATGTCTTTATTATAGTAGCGTAGCTCCAATGGAATGGCTATGAAACCAAACCCTTCCTAGAGAAACCAAACCCTTTCTAGAGAAACCAAACCCTTTCTAGAGAAACCAAAC